AGAGCGCATGGCGATGCGAGAAGGCACAGCTCGCATGGTTGACCATGTTGTAAGTCCTAACCCTATCTCCAACCGCCTAAACTCCAATGCATTTGTATACTAACGTTTCGTAGAACAATAGCTCCCCGTCCAGATCTTCTCCAGGAAGAGGCATCCCACAACGAAAACCAACCGGTCCCCGACCACTGACAAGCTCCGGCAAAAATAATGGCACCCTGGGCTCTCAGCGATCCCAGTACGATTATGACGACTACTGATTTCAAGTTCTGCAATTTTTTTTCCATCCTATTGCTTTATATTCTTTTATTTCTTGATGTTACCCCCTACCTTACCTTACCTTACTTACGCTTGAATATTGGATCAAGCCTTAATTCCCCTCCCCCCTTATCTCCCTTTTCTTCTTCATGGGCGTTGATATTGACTCCGTTATTTGAACATTGTACCAACCTTCTTCCTCCCGACACACTTCACTTTTGCCTTTTGATAAATAGCGTTCAGCACAGCAAGCAAGCAAGCAAGCAAGCACGTCAATTACCTCTTCCCGCCCGCCACGCAAAGCTTCCGCTATACCAAAAAAAATCATTTTCTTTACTACTCCCCACCGCAAAAAAGAAACACAGAAAAAACAACTTCCCTCCAAAATTCAAAATAATGAGAAGAGCAATTCATGATTTCATTTCCTGATTTTGTTCTTTTTTTTCCCTGTCATGCAGCTATGATCCTTTTTCTACTCTTTTCTTTCTAAACTAGCGCGTTTAATTGTTGTTCGTTCCTCAGCCACGTCCTCCAGTTTCGTTTTGTACCAGTTGATACGTACGATCGGATGCATGTATATGGTTTTTTCCCTTTTTACTGATCATTCGGTTTATTCTACTTTATTTATAGCCAGCTTCTTTTCTTTTAGTTTCTACTTGGGCTTTGGGAAACGGGGGTCTTGATACATATATCCTTGGAATTCTTCTGCTTCAAGCTATAGCGGTTAAGTAGCTGTCTAGATTCCACGACGTCACGCCTTTCTTCATCAGTAGCTCTTTATTAGATCCTATACATATTCTAGGCTTTGAATACAAATTCTTGCCTTGATGGCACCTAGACATGAGATATAGACTCAAGAGATAAAACCAATATTTGAACTCCATCTGCTATTCCTCGATGTTCAACGGTACAGGGATCACCAATATGAGACCGAGGGTAGGCAGCAGTCTAGATAATGAACATCCATGTTTCCTCCTCGCCCTTACTCTGGTTCGAGTTCCCTCGTTTTAACTACCAACTGCGTGTGAGAACAAGGATGCGCCTGCATTTACACTCAAGAAATCTCCCAAGCTCACAACGGAATTAAATATGTTAGACAGAAAGCTCAGAGTTTAATAACCTCAAGAAACGAAGTTGTGTCTCTTGCTTTGACGGCCCAAAATCAAGATGGCTCCCACTGTTCCACTCATGATTGTAATCTACGATAACCCAGGTATTAAACACTGGAGCCTATTCATTGATGCCGAGGAGAAGCCGGCAAAAACTCTCATTCATCTTCTCGGTGCTCGTCAAAGATATTTTCGTGACGTGAGGACCCCAACCCCATCCGATGCGCGTAATTCGGGTTCTGTTGTTGAACTGTGCGCTTTGTGTGAGATCGACGCGGACAAGACTGAAGCCATCAAGAATATTGCTTGGGGAACCCCTGTACGCAACGAAGAGCTGGACTATAGCTGCCAGGACTTCGTCCTCGATGTTTTGGAAGGGTTGGAGCGGGCAGACATTGTCGATGCGGGAAATCCCGACTACCAGCGCAACAAGGGCATTGTGAAGGCGAAACGGGAAGCATGGCAATGAGACCTTTGACACTCAAGATTGTTGGTTGCTTTGATTCTGGAGGGAGTGAAGGTATGGGAAGCGCTTCACCGAACTATGTCCGTTCTCCAATTCCAGAGCAGATTACCCCACAGACGGTCCACCAGCCAATATATGGGGAATTGTAGAGGGGAAAGGCAATCCGGCATGTAGAGGTACCAGTCATCGTCGTTCATGATACTCTGTCCATTTGATATCGTGGTGCTTTCATAATATTCAGGGTAGAATCCACTGTCTTCCCAATCTATTATCCCAGTAATTGTATACTGATTAGGATCCTCTGAGGTTTGTTTTACCATGATATTTGACTTTTTCAAATCACCATGAGTAAACACTGCCCCTCGTAACGATTTGTTTGGTATCTCTAAGAAAGAATGAAGTAACTTGGCATAGCAAGGGCTGGCACGATGTTTCGCGGAGAATTGCAAGTCATTAAACGCTTTCGCTGTTGTGATGCCCTTGTAGGCAAAGACTTCCATGATGCGGTAATCCTTTACTCCTTCACCACCCAAACCGCCCAGTTCTTGCCCATCATCCTGACGGAGGCATCTGAGTCTTGAGAATATGTTCCCCAGCTGCTCCTTTAAAGAGACCTTTCCTTCATGGGATAAACCCGACCACACCTTATCAATGGTGACGCCTTGGATATAGGACATAAACATAACACGGTAATGCCCAAGCATAATTAAGCCGTGGACCCTTGGGACCGGAAGATCTGGAGCATGGCTAGCAAGGTATTGAAGGTTGTGATATTCAGTAAGATCTCGGTTGTCGGGAAAGACCTTGATCGCAATATCGTCGTTAGCTTTGACGACAGCTCCTCTAATGATATTGTCAAACAGCCTTTCAGAGTTCAGTACCAGACTTTTCAATGAAGTTGCAAGAGCTTCTTCATCAGAATAGTCTCTGGACTTGGAATGGGTTTGTAGAAGCGCTGAGGCTTGGTCAGAGAGCGGGTATACAATACTGGCAGAGTGGATGTTATCCAACCTCTCCTTGAACCAGTCGCGCGGCTTCACAGGCTTCGGTGGCTCGGCAACAACCGGCTTTGGTTTCGCCCATCTGTATTTGCGGTCATAGTCCGATGGGAAACGATCACGCAGGTTGATATCAGGATTAGCTATAACGGCGTCATAGAGATCATTTGCGGTCTGTAGATTTAACTGGCCTGCATCTGAGAGCTCTCGATATTGAACCACTCGGTGAGCGCGTACATACGCCCTCCCGATAAGCGATAGTAGATCAGCAGCAGGATTCTTTTGGATGGCTTCGGTGAAAGCCTGCATCAGGTCTTGGTTCATCTGCGCCGCATTGGGCTTATCGAGGATGAGAACCCTCGCGTCCGCCGTCATCGCGGCGCTAGTTAACTGACTGGTAGTTATTTAAGCGATTGTCTGCCGGTTAGGATAGAGTGGTTACCCTTTATGCCTTGTTGATCGGCACTTATAGACGATATGGGAGAAATTGCCGGCTATCAAAAAGCCATGGATGTGTATAGGCAGCCGCTGGTTAGATGGTTCGATGGTCAAGCGTTGGTTGAACGAATTCCGCCCTCTTGGCATTTTGAGCGGTTGGTTAGCTAATATCAAAGCTTCTCTAGAGGATGGACAACTTCGAGTTTGCTTTCACTTCCATTTCACGTATACCTACAAGCTATAGATTCCTATGATTCTCAATAGATCAACTCGAGCACTGTTCTCTGGCTACACATCACGCCCACTGTCCACAGCAGTAGCATCGGCATCTGCATCGGCATTACGGCCACTGACAATGGCCCAACGCAGGTTCGCACCCTTGGACGCCGATGGAGGAGATGTACCCGCACTGAAGGGAATCGTATTCGATGTTGATGGGACACTATGGCAAGTAACCGCTTACATGGCATTGAAATATGGCCTTTGAGAACCAGTGTACGGATAAGCTAACGGGTAGCTGATGAGGGATCCGGATCCAGCCTGCCACAGCATTACATGTTCCAAGAGATGCGGTAAGGCGACAGATAAGATGAATGGTACATCTATAATTTAGTTCAATGTCATACTGATGTACTATGCTTTAGAGATGCCCTCGGAATAGAGAAAGGGGTCGACATAATTCACCATATCCGAGGCCTGCCCACCTTCACGGCCAGGACAGACGCCATCGCGATTGTTCGTGACATTGAGCGCAAGGCAATGGTAAAACAAGTTCCTCAGCCAGGACTTGTCGAGCTTATGGACTATCTCAATTCTAAGGGTGTCAGACGGGCGCTGTGTACACGCAACTTTGAGTATGTTGCTTAATGCCCTGCCCCTCATATACCCCTCACCTATAACAGTTGTCTATACAATGACTTACTGACGCCTGTTTGAATGATTAAAGTGGCCCGGTAAATCATCTTATCAAGTCTCATCTGGCTACTCATGTATTTGCACCAATTATAACTCGGGATACACCGAATATCATGCCTAAGCCCGACCCGGCTGGGATACTGCACATTGCACGAGCATGGGAGCTAGAGGATGCTAGTGGTTTGATCATGGTGCGTATAATTGCTGGCTTGGTTATGGCTGTGGAAATAGCTAATAAGCCTTGCAGGTTGGCGATAGCTTGGATGATATGACAGCTGGACATAAAGCCGGAGCCGCCACTGTGCTTCTCTTGAATGAGCGGAACCGAGACCTCAAGGACCATGAACATACCGACCTTTGTATTGAACGTCTGGATGAATTGATCAACGTGCTTGAGACCGGGTTCTGCGGAACCAGAGAACGGCCTTGAGGTTAGGTAAGCGACATACCCCTAGTAAGTACATAGATGCTAGATTTACGAAGTAGAACTACGGAGTATGCAAAAAACAATGAGCTTTTACCTTGCATTTGTGATAATGATATGAGGGAAGTCTCACAGGAGGATGCACTGAAACCCCCCTCGACTGTTGACTCTGGCACTGTAACTTTCTGTATTTTCGGTGCTGTTATGAAGCACATGCACAAGCGGCTGCCAATTCCAGTATTGGCTGGAGCTGCGGCATTGGTATGGCATCTCCTGTGGAAACTGTGCCTTGATCGGTGCGTACACTCTCCACGTAGCATCTGTGCTAGCATGTTTAAACTTCCAGTCCTGCTCGACATTGGAAGTGGCATTCACAAAAAGGTTGGAAAAATAGGTCACAGGGCACCGAGACTCTTAACAAGATAGTCTGGAAAATCCAGCAAATCTGATGAGCGCACATGTTTGGTGCCGCGGGTAGTCATTCTGGACTGTTGTTCCTCCTTGATATGGCGGACAGACATAAATCCACAGTCCATTAATGCTGGTCTTCGATCCAGTCAAATACTAGGGATAATGTAGGTATCCAAAGTCTCTAATCATCATCTGGGGCAATTCATAACGCCGGGTTTTCAAGTGTTTCGATTGCCTTTCCGTTTACCTCGACCAGGTATAGGCCTCGAGGACTCTTTCCCAGCACGCTGGCTGCCACCACCACCGCCACCACCACCTCTGCCCTTTCCTCGGTCCCTTCCAGGGTTGCGAGAAGGAGGTGGTGGACCTCTTCCACGGCTTGGTGGAAGGGGTGGTCTACGGTGATTTCCACCGTACCGTGACTCTGGAGAGCGGGATCGCGGACGAGAATTGGGGTTAAAGTACTGGTCTCGTTCCCGGTAATCACGTTGAGAGTCTCGAGGCGTGTAGCGATCACTTCCACTATCGTTGGAGCGAGGTTGGTTTGAGCTCAGGTTCCGCCCACGCCCAAGGCCCTCAGCAAACTTAATGTTTGAGCGAGGCGCTGAAGGCGGCTGGGGACGAGATCTTATATGAAGCTCATGCTCTTCTGGGGTTGGTTCCCTTTGTGCACGTCCTTTGATTTTCAACTGGGGAATGGCACCATTTGTTCTCCCATTTGGTACACCGGTAGACGACAGACTCGTGTTGGAGATAATAGAAGGGTCTAACGCCTTTAGGCTCCAAGATGTAGAGTGTGATGGAGCACGCATTGACGGACAGTCTCCGATAAGATGTTGAGAACTGGCGCACTGTGCACATGATATTGAGATGAACAGCTTCCCAGTGGTATATGTAGGATGTGGTTGCTTCCACATTAAATCACACTGGGATTCGATGTGCCGGTCGGAGCCACACAAGTCGCAAGGAACCTCTGCAGCAGACCCCTGAAGTGGTGCCGAACATGAATCCTTGTCATGGCCGCGCTCTCTGCATTTCTGGCACCTACGCCAAGTTGGGCAGAATCTAGACTCATGCGCTTCCCATGCACCGCAATGTTCGCACTATGTTTGTAGGGGTTAGGGCACACAGACAGGTAGTGGTAGGAGGACTGTACTTACCTTTTTATTGGGACAGATGTCTGATAGATGCCCTTCTCTGAAACACTCTATACATCTAACAGGTGTCGAAGGATCGGGATTGCCAGTGCTGTTATACAGTATGTATTTTAACTGCTTCTTGAAATCTTCCGCATTCAACTCTGCAATGGTCTGAGGGGGCACGCTGTACTTCGACGTATAGGCCGTCTGAGCAGTTGTGTCTATATCTTCATCTTTGATAGCAGGTTGTTCGGCTTCCAATTGTCCAGTTTCTTCTTTAATTTCAACAGTGGTGGTTGTGTCAAGCGGCATTGGTGGCTGTTCCTCGTTTGTATGTACAGGCTGTGGTTCTAGCTGCGGGTTTTCCGTGCTCGGCTGGTCCATATTTAACAGGATGGAACTGTCGTTGTCGTCGACATCCGAAGGATCGGTTGAATCATCACTGGAACGATCGCCATCGCCATCACTTCCATCTTTTACCACAGCATTGCTCTCCTCTGCGCGGGTTCCAGCCTCAGACTCGTCTTCAGAAGCACTCCCGCTGCGCCAGTACTGCCCATTGACCTTGTTGAACGAGTTGGACGCAGTTACGGGCTTCGACGCAGGCCGTCTAAGGGCAGTCCGCACTTTCCCCTTCCGCACATTATTCCAGTTGACAGACGGCGGCTGCCCGGCGCCTTCACTCTGCGCAGTCACTCGTTGGGCTCCTTTGGCTGGCGCAAGGCCGACAGACGCGGTACGCGAGTCGCAAGCTGCATCTTCCGCAGCGCCTGACATCTCCGGCAAGGCCTTTTTCTCTCCTATTGATTTTCAAATGTCAGCGCCAGTTTCAGCTATGTCCCCAGCAGGACGCGAAAGCCAGACAGGGCTTACCTGTAGCCCGGTACTCGACGCCAGGCGTTGTGGATGACAGTCCCTTTATCGCTGTTGGTCTTGTTTGTCTCTTGATCCAAAAAAAGAGCCGTCGAAACTGAAAAGAAAAAAAGGCGAGCCATGGGAGCGGCCCCGTCTTAGTCAGCAGTTGCATGTCTCGGAGCTCGAAGAAACCACCACGCAAGACGCAGAAGAAGAAACCAACCAGCAGGCAAAGCAAGCAAGCAAGCTCGACTCCGACGGACACGCGCCAGACAGTCGCATAGCATCTGGCCAGGGTTATTCGTTTCTTCTGCTGCATTATAAATTCCAGGCCGGCCTGCTCTGGCTCAGTTTCTGGCTGGGTTTTTCTCCTGCTCAACAACCCTTGCATCGCTCGTCCGATATCCTGCCCGTCATCTTCGCTGCCAGCTTACGGAGTATTCCTGCCCCCTATAGGACTACGGGCCACTCGCTTGTGTATCCTGCAACACGCCCTGCTCCCTGTCATCCCTCGGGTCGGCCCTCTGCTCCCCCGCCTGACAGCTCACTCCAGCCTTATACGCCCCCCGTCGACTCCCTAAAGTGACCGACCAGCTTAACGGCTTTCGATAAGTCGATATAACACGGAACGCCTCGTATACCACGGCTGCCTGCTCTTTTTTCCCTCCCCATTTCTACGTTGAATCGACTGTAGCTACATAAGCCCTCAATACCGCCAAACTGTCTCCCCTTATCGTACCGAGGACCTCCTTCTCGTCCACGCTGGAACCACGAGCCACGCAAGCTTCCTCTCATCTATCACCAGATACGGGGATGAGTCAGACCAGGGCTGGACGGAGGAGGAGGTCTAGCAGTATCATATACCAGGAGCCTCCTGAGTCTATAGAACACACCAGCGACCAGGCAGCCCTACCGAACCTGAATGCGAACTGGGTCAACGCAAAAGGTAAGCAGTATAACTCCTTACCACCCCCCTGTTATAAAATTTGGGAAGCTTCATAAACTGACAAACACAATTTAGGAGCATGGACTATCCATTTTGTTCTGATCATTGCATTGAAAATATTCTATGATATCATACCAGGTGTGTCACAGGAGACGTCATGGACACTCACCAATATCTCCTATATGTTCGGCTCGTTCCTCATGTTCCATTGGGTGAGAGGCGTACCCTTTGAATTCAACGGCGGAGCTTACGATAACCTCAATATGTGGGAACAAATCGACAATGGCGACCAGTATACGCCGGCCAAGAAATTCCTTTTAAGCGTTCCCATCATCCTCTTCCTCCTGAGTACGCATTACACCCACTATGATTTGACATATTTCATCATCAACTTCCTAGCTGTTCTCGGAGTTGTCATCCCAAAGCTACCTATAGTAAGTTGCACCTCGTTTTCCCACTCTGCTTTTCTCTATAGTAGGGACATGGTTTCTAACCCGGGTTTTAACAGTCACATCGCATGCGAATAGGATGGTTGGCGGATGATCCGGAAGACTAATGGGTTAGCATCATGGGTTTTAGAGGGCCTTTGTAGGATCAATTTAGAATCAATTTTTGAAGCTGCTACTTGTACCAATCTCTTTCTTTCTTTCCCCCCAAAGAACAGCCGGACTCCCAGCGTAAATTGGGCTTTTGTTTTACTATCGATTCCCGCATGTGTTTAATTCCTAGCAATAGTCTGTACAGATATGCTTAGCTAACTAATTAATTCATTGCTGCTTCTGCGTGTATTAACATAATTAAAAAGTATTCATCACCAAAGAAATAAACCAGGAAAGCAGACTTACGTACCACCTTGCTCCTGGTGGCTTAATGATCGCCCTGATATCCAGCTTGGCGCGTAAGGGAAAACATGCTTGTATGGTTATCTGGCACGTGACTATACACGGGCCAATTGGTGGACCTGAAAAAGCCAGGTAGTAATGGTTGATCCAATGAGATAAACAAATTCTAGATTTTTGTGGACCTTAATTCATTATGAGGTTCAACGTTATTACTGAAACTGCTGTGAAAATCAAACGTAACATTCCCTTCACTTTTTCTTCCCGTTCAACTCTGCAATATGGTTCATAGCTGTCCAGCACCGACTCATAGCCAACGCCATCCGGCCCTCATTGATGCATTCTCTTAGCTCCACCCAATTAACGACGAACGGCTTCTTCAGATCGTCGTTAGCAGAGATGATTATGTCAGAGAGATTAAGACCCAGTTGAACATCCTCATTTCTAGCGTCGATGTAGGGTGTGTCCTTATCAACCCGTAGTTTCGAGCCGTAAAATAGCTAAATTGAGAGATAAGTTAGCTAAGTTAACTTGGAGGGATTTGTAGGACACCTACGATTGGATCAAGTTTTCGGACAGCTTTCTGGGTAACTTTGTCACGCACCCAGACTTCTAAGGTGCCTTCAACCCGGCCAACCCAACGGGTCCCAAGGAAGAACAACGGGCTTTCTAGGTCATTAGGATTCTTAGGCAATGGTTCTGTGTGGCTTAAAGACTCAAAGTACGTCAGCATTGTCGCCGTGTCCACATACTCCTTGGTGATCGGATGCTGATATAGACCGGAAGAAGTTGGCGAAAACGGATCGCGAAAGGCTGGCTTTTCTTTCAACCTGATCATTAAGGAGACATTGACGTTCTGAGTAGTATCGATAGCTCTGCGGACGGCGTGCTGAAGACTCTCGTATTGCTGCAAAAATCCTGTCTCTACTGAAAGAACAGCCTTTGGTTCAAGAGCTCCGTGTTCTTGATAGAGGAGTTGTAGGTCTGGAATGCGCTGGTCTTCTTTCAAAAAGGGGAGATCTTGAATGGGAGAACCATACAAGACTCGTGTACCAGCAGGCATTTGAGATGTAAGCAAGTTTGTAACACCAGATACAACCCACTGATGTAAGGGAGTAGGGGCGTTTCGAACAGTCGTCATTGAAAAAGCTCTTTCGCTAACTACCCTAATTCTTCAGATGTAAAGGAATTAGTACTCGCAGCTGGCGTAAGAAATTTGGGAACGCAAACCTCTTGTGATCACTCAGGGCATCATATATCAGGCTGGTTTCGGGAGCTGCATTACTTAGATGGATAACTTCAAATCGATAGTCTGATGGATATCTTCCCCGTAATAGTTCACCAAGCTGGTGCTCATTGAGCCTCGAGATTTTAGGAGTAAATGTGCGATCTCTCTCTTTCCCTGTCGAGAAGATCCGAATGGCACCTTGACGGTCGGCTACGTCTCTGGATAACCTCTGGATAACATGCAGCTGTTGACCTTGGGAATTTCGGGGAATCGGTGTATTCTTCTCGTACTAGACAACATAGTCAACTTACTTCGCAGGTGGGCACTGGAATGACGGTAGATATAAGGTAATATTGGTAATGCTCGTTGAAATGGAACTGATGGATGCATCTTTAACGGGCTTCAACCTCTGCAGAAAAGGAACTCAAGAAATGCAGGCAGCAATCGATTTCGAAGCAGGGTGCAAAAGAAGAGGCGTAACTGAAACAATTTTCCTCATAACGGCGAGATGGACTTATCAAAGGAAAAAAAAAAAAAAAAAAAACCGAATTCAAATAGCTAGGTGTAGTTGTTTATATAGGGCAACAAGAGCACAAGTGAGGCACGTTAGAAAAGTATAGAGTGGGGAACACACAAAAAGAGTGTTGGTCTAAATTTTGTCCTGTTGACTTGAGAGAATTAAGAGGGTGAATACAGTCGATAATAATAACTTAGCATAGCACGACCGTGATCAGGCAATATGCAGCATCTCCAGTGGCAGAGTTGCTCTTGGTAGGGCTGTGGATGAATGATCTCATCGAGCATGAGCCAGGAGGACAATTAAGTTATTATATAATCAGAAGCTTATCATGACAGCATGAAAGAGCCTCTTGCGCGCCGGAGCTTCCTCCACCAAAGACGTCTAATAGCGCAGAAGGCCAGCTGCTTCCACTCCATGGCTTCGGAGACTGGCTACCCCCCGGTGCAGGCTCTGCCATCTGAACTACGCCATTACTGCAGTGCTTATCTGGAAGAAAGACTCTGTAGGCCCCGCCCCTAGCACACATGGATATAGAACCTCCCCCACCATAACTGACTCTATATAGACACACAGGCCTTTAATCTTTTATCAAGCGTTATATCTTCCCGGTCTACTGCTTCCGGGAAGGTATTTGCTCCCCCGTCGCAGTACCTCGCCTTAGCAGCAACATTGACTGTACACCCCACTACGACTACGCGGTCAAAGTCAGACGAATATCTCACAGCATCCAACTCTGCTCTACATTTGCTTAATTTGGCCAACAAGATCTTAGGACCCATTGGTGGCCGATTTAGGGATACCTTTGTCTTTGACCGCTTTGCCAATTCGAGGAATGAAAGGAAGTATACAACTGACGGTGAATCGACTTTGAGTGGCGCGGATGGCACACGCGTTGAACCCTTGAATCTAGACCTCGCGCAAGGAAACTCACTATGGTCGCGTGCAGAGGACTTCTGGCACGTCGTGGGGTGGGCGCTTAACTGCTCAATACTACATCCTAAGAGATGGGCCCGTTGGCACCTCTTCTTACAATTCATGTGCAATGTCCTGGAAGATGACTGGAAGGCAAGAGAAAAGGAGTTCAAAGAAATGCCTCCTGCCGATTCAAAATCCAAGAGAGACTGTTCAATCCTCACTGAAAGTCTAATATTCAACTATATATCAACGACTTCAAACCATGTAGGCAGTGATAGGAGAATCCTCAGGGCGATTTTTGCTGATGGTTCGCAATCATCTACAAACGAATTCAGAGAGATTTTCCGCAACGAACTGCAAGAGGTCTCAAAGAAAAAGGCTCAAGCCTCACGAAGAAAAGGCGACATCAACATCGACGAGGAAATCTACGGAGATTACCTTGACAACCCCGACCAGGAAGAGGAAGATGAAGAGGATCAAGATGACCCTATCCAGAAGACTTCGGGGGGCTCCGAAAGGGTTGAGGCCCGAGTCAAGCGTCAGCGACGATCTACCAGGAAAAAATCTGGAAAAGATGATATCCCATCTGATCATGGAGACGATGGCCCATTGAGTGCTCAGTACGACAAACTAGACCACCTGGGCAGTCTAGAGTCTCTGACCATCCGCCAACGGCTTCTATATTTGCTCTCTTGCGTTTCCAACAGTATACCAGAGCATTTCATGACGCTGCCCAGGCTGTACTCCTTCTACGTTGAGTTCATCCGACATCTCCCACTTCCTACATTTCAGCTCTTCGCCTCCCCATCCGTACTCACCCATTTCCCTCCTGCCTGCCAAACTACTCTCTGCGAAATGCTATTATTTAGCATCTTAGAGAATGCTGCACCGGCCTCAACAGAGAATTTTCTGAGCCAGTCTAAGCTTGAGCGGTGTTTCCTCCCTTTCACTGCAAAGACGAACAGCGTGATTGATAACGCGAGGGTGTCGATCTTGCTGGAGTCTTTGATACGCCTCCTTGCAATCAGTGGGCTGATATTCTCTAGGCCGCGGTTGTCAGATGCTGTTGCAAAGGGGATTGAGGCTCGGTCCAAAAAGGCGCGGATTGACGTCAAAAGAGGACAGAACAAGAAGCTGACCGAGGAGTTTGGATGGGTGTGGCTCATTGAGAGCGGAGATAGGATGGTGCACTTTGTTAACAACCTTCTACCCAACGAACCAGAACCAGACTACATCGTTATTGGGTTGCAATGACGCAGAATCTACATCGTGATCGAGAGAATAGCGTAATGATGTCTTTGCTCGCCAGCCAGATATGGAAAGTCTATTGAACGAGGGATATAGAATAGACAAGGGTACCTTAAATCATTCAAGTAAGAACAGTTACAAATACGTATCTTCGTTTCTCCCTTTCCAACACTATCTTATATACCAGCCACTCCATATCGTCACTTTTTATTTAGGGTGGTGGACGAGGACCAATGATCTGTCGTCGTGCACCGAACCCGATTCCTGGTACTGCATTATTCTGGTTATCTCCTCCTAGGTAACCGTACTGATGTACATCCCATCCTCCCTCACCAGGCCCAGTACCAGCGGTCTTCACACCCCTTTTAACAGCGTCTTTCGTCTGAGCCTGATTCTCCTCCCATTCACGCTGCCGCTCACGTTCTCGTTCCATCTCCCTTTCAAGCAGTGACTTCGAGGCCCATCCGCCGGCCCGAGTCTTTTGAGTAGATTCAACGCGTCGTCTATCCTCTTCGTCCTTTTCAGCTGTAGATGAGAATTCCGGTGGTCGGAAAGCAACTGGCTTTCTAGGAATGGGAGCTGGGTTCTCTTTCAAGAAGCGATCAGTGCGATTCTGAGGCTGATTCTTGTTGGCATAGTTTGTTGGGTCTGGAAGAGGGCGGGGCGAAGTTGGAGGATTGGTATCCCTTGGTGGCATTGCGGGAGGAGTAGGGAGCTCTCGAGGTGGTAGTGACGGAGGAGCTGGAGTTGGAGTTGTTGGTCTTTGCTCCTTGTTGCGTGCATTCCATTCACCCCTGAGCATTCGACGCTCCTGTTCTTGGGAGGCGAGATCATAACTGGGTTTCTGGGGAGTCGGGGTTGGCCTGTTCCCATCTGGATTTGGTGAACGAACTCGGGGGCTGGCATCTGGCTGGGGGGATCCGCGTAGTGCAACAAGTTCCTGGCGTTCAAGCTCATACTGTTTCTCTCGTTCTTTTGCCCTCTCCAGTTCACGCTCCAGTGCCTTGATACGTTCACTTTCACTAGACGCAGCAGCCTTTTGCTCTAGCAGTGGAGATGCTATTCCTCGTACGGGTTTCTGGGCAGTTTGATATTGGCTCAAGAACTGTCCGTTTAACCTTGCGTCCGCAGCTTCACGCTTGTGAAGCCTCTCCTTTTCCAATCTCTCTTCCAGTTCCTTTTCCTCTTGTTGCCGGCGAGCCTCTTCCTGCTCCCACTGACGCTGTTCTTCTTGCCATCGTTTCTTTTCTTCTTCAACCTTCTGCCGTTCTTGTTCTCTAAGTTTCCTCTCTTCCTCCTCCCAGCGTAGTTGTTCTTCTTCCTTTGCGCGTTCTTCTTCGGCTTCCCGGGCTGCTCGCTGGCGCTCCGCTTCTTCCGCCTCTCGTTTAGCCTGTTGTTCTTCTTCCTCTCGCCGACGTTTCTCTTTCTCTGCAAGGCTGGGCACCGAGGGGCCAGGAGTGGTGATCTGCCGTCGCGCACCAAATGTTACACCGAGGCTCCCTTGACTTGCACCGCCTATGTAGCCATACTGGTGAATGTTCCAAGCCGGAGCTGTGGTTGCCTCATCGGCCTTACTGCTCCATGCGCTCGTCTTTGTTGGTGGTGAAGCGGTGCTGCTCCGGCCGGATGGCATCGTAGGACTGGCTCGTCCTACATCACTGACATTGCTCTGGCCTCGGGGTCGAGAGTATGGGGAACCGAACCGCCCACCTTGACTAGATCCACTCATTTGGGGACTCAACGCGCCGGTCTTGCTTTTCCCGATGGCACGCGGGAACTTGCTTGGTTGGAGAGCGTATGCTTTGCGACTGAACGCTCCAAGACACTGTAGAACCTGGGCTGGGTCCTTGGACTCGTAGAGGTCAACCGTGAGGAAAACATCGTGGGGAGGTAAGCTGAGAGGAGCCTTCTGGCAGGCGTGTAGGAAATGGGATATATTCTCCATCTGAACGAACGGCATGCTCGACTGCTTGAACTTGACCCCTGGAGGGCCCACGGCAAGATTTACCAGTCTGCCAAAGTCCGTGTTAGTTACTGAATAATGCCAGTAAAATTAACAAAGTAATGCAAGGGTACAAAAGGGGATAGACCTAGGTACCTGCATAATGCTACTCCGTCGCGCAAGGCTTCCAGGAGGTCGCCTTTGGGCAGCTTCTCCTGCAGCGTCTCTTCGATCCAGTCTCGGACCTCGTTAGCGGCCTGGGGCGTATATTTGGACAGTCGCATATTGCGCAGGTCCTTGTCTAGCGATGTAACCGACGCCATCGTGTCTGATTCGACTGCTGAGTCTGGGGTGACCGTCAGGAGGCGGGATGTATCTATATCAGCGGGGCAGTCTGCGAGGCCGCGAGCATCGCCCTTTGGCTCTCGACGGCAGAGGAAATCGTCGAACTGCTCCCTGTCGCCAGACAACTGCGGGAAGATGGCTGTCAACCAGCGTCGGTGGTGTTGGATGTGTAGAAGTGTTGACGGTGACGTCGTCGCCCTCTTGGTTATTATTATCTAGATGCGACGGCCCAACTAAAACTAACTCTAGTTACGCCCGCTAACTAAGGCTGAACGTCCGCCACGCAACCTTCTTCCTCAGCCACAGTCCTCGCTCGACAGGAACAGAATTCATCAGGATCACCCATCTATATTACCGGCCATGAGACGGTGACGCGGGTTGAGGGAACAGCCAGACATGAGTCCGATAAACAGTCTCTGGTTCAAATGGAAGAGCCTTAAACTCCCCTGGCGAAGGATGTTCCTCGTTGGTACGCATAACACTCGCTTCGGCTCGATGGAAAAATCGACACACTGACATGGAGATAATCTATCACAGGGAACGATCTCGCAGGAAACACCTATTGGGAGTTCAAGGATTCGCTCAAGCCCGGTCGGTTGAGGCGCATTGTGAAGGCCAGTCCGAAGATACACTACGCCGACGTCAAAGTCCCGCGTAAGTCTGATGCCTCTACTTATAGACGACCAACACAGAACACAGAGACCGTAGCTGACAGTTGTGGATGGATGGACAGCACAATGGCATCAGTGGCTTCGATACGTCCGGCCTGAGCCGCCGAGCATTGAGGAACAGCAGAATGAACTGCTTCGGCAGCAGCGGATCAAATACCTTGCGCAGCAGGCGGACGAACGGTGGGCAAGCAAGCCGTCCTTCCTAGATAAACCGGCACAGCAGGATGCTCCAGCTCTCCAGTCACAGCAGCCGTCCTACCACACTACAAGACAGGGTACTGGCGCCGGCACAGCAGAGGTACTGCAGGAACAACAGCCGGATGCAAAGGGAGGCAAGAAGATGAAAAATCCATGGGACAGGGCCGCAGGCGGGCCCAGCGAGAACTGGCAGCCTGAGTCATGGACCCCCAACGTCTCGAAGAGATGATTTGACTTCTACCATCATTTCTTTCTCTGCCGTCTACATATCTCGATGAGACTGGAACAGACGCGCGACACCATCCTGCAGCAGGACGGAGAAAGACAGCCGCCGCAGCCTGCTTTCCTACTCAGCCTATCATAGCCTCCATTAGGCAGATCAGATGAGACTTCAACACATTATACCCCCTATTCTCACCATTGGTTTCTTCTTTACCAACTTGTACAATATGCATACCCTTTTTTTAAGCGTGTGATCTTTCTGAATATAAAAGCGGAATTGGCTTGGCCCGTTTCATCTCTTTGGCATCTATTTATTTGCATTCCGGATTTTATTGAATGGATGAAAAATATCCATTGCAACCGTTCTCAAATGAACTATAGACTGTCTGTATAAATAGCTAATTAAGGGATATTTATCTATTTGCGACTTGATCCTTCATCACCCTGTTATCGGTGGGAGGGTCATATTGTCTTTCTTCAATTCGTTGTCAACGCCTTCCGGCCGATCAAAGGGACAGATACCTCTACCGGACGCATGCGAGTTTACTTCTTTGCATGGTAGGTATCCGCCTTTATACATATTAAGGGGCAGATGTTATATATAGTTTTAGCATACATGCAGACGGCAATGCATTCATGGGTCTACATAGCTTCTAAGACATGCCAGTTAGATTCGGCATTGTCAAGCAAGTGGGATGTCTCAACAGCTTATTACGGTGCTTTGATAGCCACAGCAGCGTCCAAGTATCAAAGCCAAAAACGCATTCGAATGCATATGCCCACGTTTCATACCATTGTGAAAGGAGGATTTCCATCTTTGAATCGTAGTTGAGTATCATTCATGTAGCCGCTATGGTTGGAATCTAGTTTAAATCGTCTCAGTTCTTAAAGCACAGCAGAGAGCCGCCCAGGGGAGTTAGTTAGCCAACAGGAAGAAAGGGGTCATGGTACGGTAAACAACATAGGAAATGAATAAGAGAGGTACATAGAAGTTAAAGTAGGAATGGAGCAAGGAAGAAAAGAAGCAGTAGAACGCCAGTGTTTGCTTGGAGAGGTATTAAAACGATTCCTATATACAGGGTCAAATGGTGTTGAAAGCAGAAACCAGGGGCTGAAGTTAAAAAGAGTATCAGTGGATATTATATTGGTAACTATTAGAAAAAAAGAAGCAAGGAGTTTAGCATAGAACGGCCTCGAGAGCTTCAACGTCGCCCCCTGCTCGTCGGACGGCTAGCAGTGCAGCTTCTGATAGCTTTCGTCTCTTGTCACGGGCTTCTTGCTCACGCCTGGCTTTGGTCTTGGAGCTTCCGCTGGGTGCAACGCCAGTGAGCAGTTTGTGGCTATCTTCGGGGGTGAAGTTGACGAACGAGACACTCTTTACAGCTCTATTGATGACGGTGTTGTAGCTGTTATTGTTGCTGTTGTTGTTGTTGTTGCTGCTGCTGGAACTATTGCTACTGATCCCGCTGTGTGTAGACCCGTTGGAAGAGATTGATTTGGTGCATTTACTTGTTTGCCCGGAGAAACTGGCTGCTTTGCGGGCATGAGCTCGTCGTTGGTGTGGTGGGATGTGGTATCTTGCTTTAGGTGACTGTTGAGGAGCTGAGCCGTGTGGAAATCTCCTGCTTATTACGGGGGCTGAGCGGGGAGCTGCGGATATAGCTGATGCAGAGCCGGATAGAGAAACTGGGGTATTATTATGAGCCGTCTGGATAGGAGGGGGCTGAGGATGCTGGTGGGAGCGCTGATGGTGTTGTGGGAAATATGGGAGAGTGAAGGCTAGTGGTAATGCGACTTCAGCCCCTGATAGTTGGGGGGAGGACATTGCAACGGGGTCCTGCTGGATAGAAGAGCTGATTTCAGGGGAAGATGTGTCCATGCCAATCATGAGGCCTGAGCTTTGGATTGATTCTGGAATATGTGCGAACCGTTGGTGCTGATTGCGGAATGGCAAGGAAGCAGATGTCATTGCTGGAGAGTAGCTTGCGTGAGGGAAAGGAGATTGCAGGCTTCTGTTGGGAATGGTATGAGCCGAAGATGTGGTCCACCAATGCTCAGTCTCATGAGATTGGAGGTTGGGCTGGGCACATTGGAAGGCAGAGACACCCATGGGCTCTGAATGCCAGGAACTGGCTGGCGATCCGTCACAGGGTTGAGAACGTAGTATCTGATGCGGAGGAGGCGGTGATGTGTGATCCGGTACCGACGTAACGGTCGATGGATCTTGATAAGGCTGACAAGGGGTGGTCTCCGAGATGTCGTTGGTCGCTAGTACCGGTGAGCTGTGTATTGGGTGGCTCATAATACTCGGGCCGTACCGTGGCGTCGACATGGGTGTGCTGCTGTTGAGAGGTGACTGGCTTGACCCTCCGCTGGCGGTAGATAAATGGGACGTACTCTCACGTCTATCGAGGGGAGTCTGCGAGTAGGATGCAGGCGTCGTAGTTGGCTCAAGACACTCCGGCGACTGAACGATCTGCTGAAGGCCGTAGCTTTCCAGACGCTGCTGAAACCAGTTGTTGCTGTTATTGTTGTCTTGATAGGAAGAAGCCATGGTACCGGGAGAAGGCGAAGACGATGATGACGAAGGAGGAGGAGACGAGAGCGCTGGATGGCCTGAGAACAGGAGATCTCCCTTTCTTGCTGTCAACGTGGCAGGCTGGTCAGTTGATTTATGCTGGCGGCGTTGTCTCCTTGTTGCAGACGGCTGCTGGCTATGGTTATACTTGTAAATCTGCCGTTCCATCCAGTTGCCGGCAGTGGGCCGCGAGGAGGGAGGCCCAACAAGCTGCTCCTTTGGATCCTGAAACAGCACCCCGGAATCGACATGAAATTGGTCCCCTCCTTCTCCTCCTCCTGGCCCTGGCCCTGCTGCTGCAGGTGTTGTTGCTGCTGTTAATAGCTGCCCGCTCGCGTGGGCATCAAAGGCATGGTCATGTTGTTGGAGTTGATGCTGCTGGTGATGCAGCACCAGGTCTGGGGTCAGGGCTGGACCCGACTGGAGAGATGAAAGGTCGGCGTCTGTCCAGCGGCGGACAGGCAGACTGCCAGGCTTCATGTGGGATAGGCCTGCATGAAAGAGGGTATCGCCATCGACAGCGTATGAAAATGCAGGGCCTTTGTTGGCCGTACAACTGGGAGGCTGCATCTCACCATGGAGGCCCAACGTGTTACGGAACGAATCATCTATCGGGCCTGGCAGACTATGACCTTTGTTTTCCGCTTGCGTCCTTGAACCCAGGTTTCTGGGTAAGGCCATGGTCGAGAGAGATCTGTATTTTCTAATTGGGCGCAACCGTTAATCTTGGTCTGCTGCAGGCCCTGCAGCCGGATGATTCAGGGATTTTGAGACCTGGAGGATATCTAGTCGTAAAGCAGATAGATGGTGAAAGAGACAGCCAGATAGAGACACACAGAGAGAAAGAGACGAAAGCCAGAAAATAACGAGAGAAAACGAGAGAGCTGAAAAAAAAAAAAAAAAAAAACGAGGGATAAAGAAGACCGGTCTCTATCTCAAGATGGCTGTTTTATGCCGGGGCTGAGCCAGTGGATGTCGAGCAAAGGAGGTTGGTTTTTGTTTCTATTCTGAGTGAGACAGGGCAGGCAGCGTGAAGAAGAAGAAGAGGCAGCAGCAGCAGCAGCAGAAGAGGGAAGAAAGGAAATCCTCTTTTCTGATATGCAGGGTCAGGGCGCTTATAATAATAGCTCAGACTGCAGCCAGTCACTCCATCTATGTGTGCTGTGTATCTTTCTTGGTCTCTTTGGCCGGTGAGGTATATTTGGGGACTGGCGGGCGGGCTACCATGGGAGACCCCAGGTATATAAAAAAAGAGACGAGCAGGACGAAGCCGCCGCCGCCGCAGTAGCAGCAGCAGAAGCAGAAGAAGAAGAAGACGAAGAAACACAGCAGTGGCCGAGACGGAACATCCCATGGAATCGAAGAAGCCGTTGGGCTATCCTCCCATGCGGGCCTTTGCAGGAACAAAGAGCACGAAGTAGCAGCAGGAGAAGAAGAGACAGAAAGACGGAGAAGCAGAATGACAACGCTTTAAAGTTGGTTATTGGAGGACAAAGACCGCAAAGTCTTCGAGGCTCTCGTGTGTCTAAAAAAAAAAAAAAAAGGAAATGAAAAAAAAAAGAAATAGGAATAGAAATAGACATGAGTTAACTTCCACGGCTGGTGGATTCACCAATGTCATGTCCCTGTGTTTCTGTTTCTCCTTTGCTGGCGCGGGTGCTTGTAGGTGTTGGTGGTTGTCTATATGATATGATATCAGGGGATCATATACAAGACGCAGAACCACGGGCCCCCGTCCCCTCGCGCGCCCCCCTTAGCTGCCACAAAACGACAAGCAACGGTCCGTCCGAGGGGAGGAGGAGAGATAAAAAAAGAAACCCAGGCCAGCGCCAGTATAATAGCCTGTGGGGAGAGAAGCAGAAGTTCGGTGCTAAATGCCCGATAAGAGCACAGCAGGAGGGCTTGGTGCAGCCAGGCAGATCGACTCTTGTGCCATCCATCCATCCCCCCAGTGGGCAGACAGCTTGAGCTACAGTGTACATCGACATGCGGAGACACACCAAGTCAGAGAGAGGCAACCTGGCGGTCGGTCGACCCTGTCACCATCGAAGAATGGTGTAAATTAATGCAGCGGGCAGTGGAGTGGCTGCTCTTGTTGTCCTGACTGGCGGGACCAAGCAGTGCTTCTTCCCGGAGGATGGGTAGACTGGCCAACTAGTCAGTTAGTGTGTAGACGTTAAGCAGCCTGCTGGCTGGCTGGCTGGGTGTATAATATCCAAATCTGTTGCTTCAAGTCGAGCACTCCCTTTCCCCCCCTAGGCAGTTGAGAAAGACGACCCATGGTGCCGGGACAGTGAGAGTAACGTTGATACGCTCGTCTTGCCCAGCAGGAGACCGTTCGATAGTCAATTGAGCCGTCTGGGTTGTTCACCTTTGTGCTTCCCCTTGAGTTAGCCCCTTGGCCAGACGGCCAGACGGGGGGGAAGGTGGATGATTCCTCAGCCAGCGAGAGGACAACAAAGTCCCCCTCCGTGATCGTGATGACGATGACGATGAGGATGAAGATACGATGTACCTCGGGGGGGTCCCTTGAGCCGCGCAGAGAACAATGGGACAAGGCCCTGAAGAGTTGAGTTGAAGCGTTTCTTTGCCTTCCTCCTCCCCCCCCATTCCATCCCGTGGACCCGTGGTTATGATCATGTCTGGGGGGGCCACAGCCAAACAAAGGGCGCCAGGCCCAGCAAGCAGCCAAAGATGATGAATATAATTTCTAATGCCTTAGTCTAACCAGACTTTGAGACGAACTCTATCCCCCGTCCAAAGAAACCAAGAGAGAGACAAGAGACAGAGACAGACAGACAGAGAGAGAGAGAGATCCCTTTGTCCTTTGTTTAACAGAGCGTACATAAGGCCCGGTCGACGGGGGAAGGCCTGTCCGCTGAGTGGGTGTATCACCGTCCTCGAACCCTCACCCTCACGCAGGCCCTCCTTCTGGGCCGCTGGCCGTGGGTTCGGCGGGTTCTTTTTTTCTTCTCGTTTCTCTCCTGGTCAGACTTCGAAGTATCACCATCGCCGGCCTGCTGCTCCTTAATATAACTAACGAGCGGGTTCGCTGTTGCATTCCAGAAGGCAGGGCAGGTTGACACGCTGGCCGGTTGCACGGCGCTGACATGGCCGGCCGTCGACAGTGAGTAGTGAGTCTTAGTCCTACTACTGTCCTAGTAGTTATTGTCCTAGATCATCCTCTCATCATCGACTTGTGAATTTCAACGTAAAAAGCGAGCCAGCCAATGACTGGAGCTGCGGCGAGATGGAGCATCCTTGCTATGACGCAGGAGGACGGAGACTTTCCCGAGGCGCTTTAGGGCTTTTCTGGGGCAAACAGATGTTGACGGAGAGTAAAGAGACGAGAGAGAAGACGAGACGAGTCTTCTGCTGATGCTGAGCTGATGCTGAGCTGACCTTGATACGACGGGACTTGCGGCTGGCTGAGACAGGCTGAGATGAAGACGAAGACTGAGAGTGAGACTGAAGGAAGACTCATCAGACAGTTAACTATCAGACTCAGCCCGCCAGCAGCTCCTGCAGCTGCAACTCAATGTACTCTGCACCCCTCAAGATGTATAGTAGTAGACGGTAGACTGTAGAGTATCAGACAGTAGAATACGCCGTAGACGAGGATGAGGAATCTGCCAGCAGCAGCCAGAGAGACCTGCGATGCGGCGGTGCATGGCTGTCGAAACTGCCGGCGGTCGCGAGTGACCTTCAGTTTGGTGCAGCGCCCCGCGGTTCTAGAAGTACCGGCGACCCTCCGCGGTTTTGTCAGCGATGGCGCCGGCCACAGCCGACCTCTAACTCTCTCTTCCTTGACTTTTTCTCTCTCTCCAACCTCATTTTCACGACGTCACAGCGACGAAAAAACCTCCAACTTCTTCGCAAAACGCCCACCCAACACCCGCCAGCCCAGCATCAACGATCTCTAGCTGTCCCTGACGACGGCTGTCCAGCTCTGAACTCCTTCGCCAGCCCTTCAACCTGCTCCAGGAGCCAGGTCGGACTCACGCGCGCCCTCTCGTCCTCCTGATCGAGATCCCTCCCACCCAAGCAGGCTATACTCTTTGCCTCCCTCCCCTCTACGGCCACTTCGACCACTTCCCCAGCTTCTTCTCGCATACCCAAATGCTCTCAGGCCTCAAGACCGGTGTCCAGATCAAGACTCAGCTCGATATCCCCCTGTGCAGCAAGCAGGACCCCGAACTCGCTCTCGCGCGCCTCCCACAGCCCAGTATCAGGAATGTTCAGCAGCCAGAAACAACAGCTCATCTTCCAAGTCGGCTCGCCTTTTACCGTTATTCCCAACTGCCTCAAGCTCATTGACGTCATTTGCTGGTGGAAGTGAAGATAATAAAATAATATACCATTCGGTCCCCGTAGTGATATATCCGCTTGCTATTTTGTCTCTTTTGCACCACTTTTTTATATCTCTGTTTGTCTACTACACGTCGTCAGCATGGCCTACTAGGGCCATACTTTTCCCACCAACCATGGTTCCCTCCCAGGAGCCCATCTGGGGGATCTCCCCGTGTGTTTTCGCTGTGGACAACCGATCTGACTCTGCTCTGCCTCGATCTCGACTCGCAAGTGATATATCCTGCAAACACTTACCCTACAGACAGCATATCCAGGATACCTGAAAAACAAAAACCTCCTCCTGAGAAGACCACCTTTCCATAGTTACTGCTCTTCTGTCTCCCCTGCTGCTGTTTTCTCCATATCAAACTCCCTGTACCGAGTAAATACCACCAAGTGACCTCTCCCGCCTCTCACCACCGCAAACAACACCCCAGCCACCCTCCGGCTATCACTGAAGCAGGACGAGGAGAGAGAAAACTTCACTTCCCCTCTTCTGCAGAACCTGAGTTCGGTGAAACTAATCAGGAGGCTGGGAGGACATCTGAAGAGGAGAAGACCCCCCTCTTTTGCTGCATTTCTTGCTGCTGGTTTTGTTATTTGTGCGTTGCTATAAAAGAGCCGAACTTGATATCGCCGGGTGCACACAAAACAACCGCAAGAAATGTCATTCCGCTGCGGACTCTTCTACGGCCTCAGTCCTCAGACCAACGCATACTCGACCATCGTCAATTTCAACACAGGCACGGGCACAGGCACAGGCACGGGTACAGGATTCAAGGACCAGCCCAGTCCCCAGTACTGCGCCATCATGTCTGCTTTCCACCATCACCTCGATCTGGCCGGGAGGCGCCGTCTGGGTGCCCTCGACGCCTACGAACGACCCTACTTGTCCGACGAGCCCAAGGATGCAGAGACTGCAATCCTGCCTCCGCAGTTCACCCATACGCCTCTGGTGCGCTCCTCTACTCTCTCATTCTCGGACTCGTCAGTGTCAAGTCTAGGCGGCGGCGACTTGAAGACTGAGGTCCAGCGCATGCTAAGAGAGACGGCAACGGAGACACAGACGGAGCGGCTACCGCAGCCTGCCCACGAACACCAGCCACAGGAGCTGCTGCAATCAGACGGAGAGAACGGCGATGACGAGTACAGTGAGGGAACTGACATTGCCTCCTTGACTTCTGTTGATGACCAATCTACTGGAGGAGTAGAAATCTGTCATTTACCTGTCTCTGCTGAAGTACATGTTGATCGCCCGTTGCTGGCCACTGACTGTCATGAACAAGTCAATTGGGTAGGCGACAACGATGATGAAGAGGATGATGAAGGTGATGACGAGGAAACTGAGGAAGAAGAAGACGATGACGAGGATGAAGAGGACGAGGAAGATGATGAAGACGACGAAGATGTTGAAATGTTTGATTCTGACTCTGACGATGCCTCTGACGATGATAACGACGTCTCTATCAATGGTGACGACCATGTAGATGGTGAGTTTGTCCGTCTCTAAAAATCATTGTATATACCGACTGCTAACTTTCACAGACCTAGGTCTCGACGATGAGTTTTCATACATTTCGTTTTCACGCTCTGTGCACTTTGCACCCACGCTGGAGACTGTGATCCCTGACAAGACCTACGACTCGGAGATGGAACCACCCACGGAGCCACTTCCCGAGATGACTATCCACGAGAAGATCCAGATTGCTCTCGCTGCACAGGCAAGGTCTCTTGACCCGGCAAACTTTAGCAATGACGAGCACGACGAGCCAGACGAGCACTCGAGGGACCATCTCGACCTCGACAAGCAGCTCCTGACCGCCTACATCAACGGCCTACGCACCATCTCAGCTCATGTCTGCAGGATCGTGATACGCTCTCGCACTCTCCCCCACGACCCCAGGGCAAGTGACGGCGTCGAGCCTGACACCAGGACATACGTCAACGAGTACCTTGACAGGATCTCGCTGTTGTTGCAGAATTTCTTTCCCAACTTGGTCGATGAGGACAAGTTCGACGACATACTCGAGTCCACGACCATGGCTGTCTCGTTTGACGACGAGGAGAATGTGACCTACCGTCCTGGCTTCACCGATGCCCGTAAGATGATCCAGTCTGCGCTGGAAGAGACGCTCGACGTGGACGACATGTACATGGCCGACGAGGTCACCAAGTGGCTGGCTAGCGAACTGATCGAGCCCCTTGGTCTGCGGGCCGCGAGACTCGAGAGGAACTAACCAGATCCTCACTCAGCATCACACAGCACATTAACATCAAACAAAGGTCTTCTCATGTGCTTCTGATTTAACCATCATGTCCTTTATGACCTTCCCTTTTCTTTCCAGCAGTTCGGACAAGTTTATGGCGTTTTTCTGTTTCTCTCTTGCATGCATCATGAAAAGCAACTTCGCAGGGCCGTCTTGTTTATTTCTTGTTTCTCCCTTTTCTCCTCCCCTTTGCTTCTTCTTCTTCCTTTCTCCCTCCCCCGGTTGACCTCATTATTTGCTTCATTATTTGCTTCATCCGCCCTGCCTCTGCATCCCCGGTTCTGCTTCGGTTTCCGCCCCCTTTAAGTTCAATGACACGCTCACGATGAAGATCAAGACGACAAGACGACGAGAAAAGACACTCTGAAACGATAAAGCCGGTGTACTTAATTAAATAGCTACGCGTTCTAGTCAAGCTATCTGCTTCTACGGAGTGCATCAATTATTACTTCTCTTTCTGTCTCTCTCTCCGGTGGCGCTCCCACACTGGGCCAGGCCAGCCAGCTAGTTTGCCCCCCCTGGCGATAGTCTTCTCGGAACGAACTACTATATGCAAGCAAACTATTATAACGTCAAAGGAGGGCCTGCCATTTTAACTATAATAGGAACTAGTCTTGACTGGACAATAGCTGATGATCGCATATGATCTGCGCAAGCATTGGATGCCCTTCATCCCTTCGACCCTGAACTAAAGCAGGTAATCCAGTCCCTCAAGCGATCACCTCGACCCTTTGTTCGTCATCGGCTTGCCTGCATGATGACTTACTTGACTGATTGACCAACGTGTTTAACTAGTCCAAGGGGCGGAGCATCTCTGGCGTCACTGGCCTGCCACTGGCCTCCTACAGCAATATGCCCCCCTACCAGGAACATCTCGGTCACTCAAAGAGCCCAGCGAGAGTTAAAGAACCCTTTTCAACGGGCGTCTCCGTAGCCAGGGACTCACCAGCCCGGCCCTGCGTCTTGACCGTTTCTTGACTGCCCGGCGTCCGACCCAACCAGTCATGCGGAAGCCAATGGGAGCTCCGCGATGGGTAATATTAGCAGGTGGACGGTCATTTCCCATCCCTGGCCTTAGCTGGGGTAATAAGACAGTTATCCGCCATTGAGGATTGGGACGGTGGAGGGGGCTAGAAGGCAGGCGAGCCGGATAGGCGGGTGGACGGACGATGGAGAGATGGAACCGGCCAGCTAGGCGATGTGAAGTGTCAACAAGCAGCTGGATAGTTGGGCTGATATTGAAACATGAGGGCGGGAAGGGGAGGGAAGGGCGTAAGGAGCTGGCTGGCTGGCTGGCTGGCTGGATAAGCAGGCAGGCTGCGAAAGAGGGATGCTGATACATACCGACTGGAGCATTTCCGCTGACTGCCCAAAGGGTACCTTGATACTAACCAATATATTTGACGCTGTTGTTTATTATTTACGGAGCCCCGATATTTGGTGTTGATATACTTGCTCCATGTTGATAGTGCGCACACTATAGGCAGTCCCGTAGACCTACCTACTCCTGCATTCAAACATACATCTATACTCCTTACATCTATATGCATCTATATTGCTACCACATGCAACGTTTTTTAACATGTAGATATCTCGTATCGAGGTAGATAGCCTCTATACAAATGACGCGACGAGCTATAATTAGAGCCCAGGACCGCCGCTGAGACGGCTCGACGGAGAAGAACCATGGGGCCCTCCCAGCCCGCCCGTCCATGCAGGAGGGCGTGTGTCAGACCACCCAATATGGTATGGAGATGCGAGGGGTTTCGAGAGCTGCTGTGGCCGTTGCTGGCGGTGCTTGGAGGTGCTTGGGGGTGCATAAGAAGGCGCCCATTCACCAAAGCCGATCTGGAGAGACTTGTCCCTGGATGGCAGGCAGTTAAGCAGCAGCAGTGGATGTCCAAAAAGGAAAAATGGCCTCTCTGGTGCATTAGTGCATTAGTGCATTAATATCAAGCACGGGAGCAGGCAGGCAGTGCCACGGATGCCAGAGACCAGCCATAATAGCACAAGGCAGTGCCATACGGAGTACTTAATAGCACAAGGGAAACCCGGGTGGTCGGCTGCGCTGCTGAATGGGAGGAGCCGTTTTAATTATCCAGACTCCGACTCCGTCCTGGTGCAGCAGCTGGGAAGAGGAGTGCCCCATCCTGCGTCCAGGCAAAGACCGGACCACGGACGGGCAGGTAAAGTCAAGATAGAGCCAGCCAGTGCGAGAGAGAGCCTGGGGGAGGATGCTCTCTACATTCTCTGTCTGACCTTGCTGCTCTTTACTTGCTTCTGCTTGCTCTGTTTGCTTCTGTTTGCTGCCGTATTTGTAGGTAGGCAGGGAGAGACAAGGCTCCTTTAATTGCGTACGACCGGGGAGATCGACGGCTTGATAGCCTTGCAGCAAAGCAACTCCCTCGAAGTAACCGTGTATGTATATCTATAGAAGCAACTACTTCGTTGGCGGTGTACGGAGTACTTTGCGGCCTGCCTTTGAGTTCTTCTCCAGGTTTTTTCCCATGCCCCTGGTCAACTATACATATGTAAGAGAAACAAGGGAGGGAGAAAGAAAACATGCTGATGGGCATCCACCCAGCTGTCTCGGGCCGGTACATGGCAAAAGGGTGGCCCTCTCCAGCCAGCAGGATTTTGGGCTGTTAAGTTGGATACCGCGAGCTGTCCAACGGAGAAAAGAAGAAGAAACGAGCTTCGAGAAACGGAATCCAGAGGCCAAAACCGACGGGACCTCTATCCGGGAGGTTGTTGATAAAAGAAAAATATATAGTACGGAGTGCGGATATGCCGTCCATGTCCATATCCACGTCCACGTCCACGTCCATGTCCATGTCCATGTCCATGTCCATGTCCATGCTTCCAAGCGACGAAAAGCCGGGCCTTGCAGTCACTCCGACTGTACGTAAGTATACTACTCCGTACATACTCCAAGAGATAGCATCATCGCACAGGAGCCGTAAGAGCCCGTGGGTGGCTGCCTTGCCCTGGCTGTAACGCTGCAACGTTCTGATGGCGTGGAAGATGGCTGGAGCACATCACCAGACGTGCCTGTCAGACACACGGTTGGCAAGCATCTGTCGCTGTCTATCTTCCTGTCTGTCAAGACGACAAGACGACAAGACAAGGCTCTGGTCTTTGACGGTCTCTCTCTGTCTGTCTTACTGTCTTTGCTGGTCCTGCTAGCTCTTGCGTCTCAGCGATGCAGGATATAAGCATGATTGGGCCTGACCAGGGGGCGCTGCTTAAGGACTGGATGCCGATCTTTAAAAAGCAACCACGGCGACAAGGAAGTCAATTTCTGGGTCCCCAAGGGGAGGAAAAAGACGAAGAAGAAAGAAGCAGAAGAAGAAGCAAATATAAGCTGCTCAGCTGGAAAAAGCAAGGAGAGAAAAAGTCGAAGTTGGTCGTCTGTCCTGCATGGCCGTCTTATGGTGCTATGCCTCTCACAAGCCAGCAATCAATGCCTTAAGAGTACGGTCTTCAGCAGCCGTAGCAGCCGTTTGCTAGCCGTGCCTGTTGCACAGAGGATTTGAAGTATACTCACTCCGTAGCGAGGTAAAATGATAAACGACTCCATAACGGCTGCCTTGTTTATGCCGTGTGGGTGGTGTTGCTGTCTGTCTGTCTGTCTGTCTCGATTGAACGGCCTCCCCTCCTCCTCCTCTCATCCCTAGCACCGAGCTGTAGGCACTGACGGTTCCCCAGGGGATTGACTCTTGTTCTCCATCCTGCCAGCAGGATTCGAGAAAGAGAGAGGTCCATCATCGACAGACTATTCGCATCGTGCAGAGCTAGTGGCCGCCATCGCTGAACCCGCCCCCATGGCGTGTAATTAATTCACAGACGGCTAGTCAAGATTATATTCACCGTAGCTAAAAGTCCATCAGCGACGATGAAGGTACCACCAGTAGTGCCAGGTACCTGTACCTGTACGGAGGACCTGCTCCCCTGCTCCTCGACAGGGTCCCGACTCCATCCCCGTAGCGTTTTCTCTGGCCGAGCAGCAGCAGTGCGGATCTGGCTCAGGGGTCCCGATCCATATAGGCTGGAGGAAGGCAGCGCAGACGCATCGAAGGGGGACCAGGCAGCCAGATGGGGTTCCGATGGAGTCGTCCCATGGATCACGGCAGTGCGATGGACGCCCGCGATCGAGCAGATCTGGTCGTATCCTCTGGCAGAGTCGCAGCGGCCAGCAGTGGTACCATGTTTCTTTTCTTTTGAAGCCCATCTCTGCTTTAATAGACCCGGCAGCCTGCTCCGGCGAAGGGAGACTCTCTCTCTCCCTCTCCCTCGCTCTCGCTGGCTTTGCCTCTGTGTGTACACTTCCGTACTTTTGCTCCTTTTGCTCTTCCTTTTGCCGTGCTTTTGCTTCTTCTGCGTTGCCGCGTCGGCCGCTGATCACTTCGATATCAGCCATCAGAGACCATCGCCCGCACAGCCAAAAGGGGGGACTGCCCGGCCAGGGGACATCCTGACTCGATCGGACTCCACTGGGGCACTTTCAATCGCTGGTTCTTCTATCGCTCGCTCGCTCGCTCTCCATCGATCTGTCTGGCTGCGGCTGTTGGTCGGTTGGGTTTGCTGGTACATATACATACATCTACATATATAAAATACATCCATCATCCCCTTTAGCCCCTGAGGCCGACCTCGAGCGTCAACATCAACATCAACATCAACAGACACCAGCTCCCAGTTCAGCGACCAAAGGGAGACAGACAGAGGCTTGAGCCTGCTACGAAAAGAAAGCCTTCGCACATCGCCTGCCCACCCCCGCGAGATGGCGGCGAGATAGACTCAGCGCTGGACGAGACGAAGATATATACGAACATTCAGCCACCCCAGGAAGAAGCAACGAGAGCGAAGAAAAAGAAAAAGCAAGCAAGAAAAGAAGACGAGAAGAAGAAGAGACGAAGAAGAAAAAGGAATATCGTACTCTAATTGATATTCGTCTTCCGTCCCTTCGAGAATTTGCATCCGGACGGCAACCGACGCTGTCTCTGCCTTTCTCTTTGTACTGAGCAACTGAGAAACTTGATAGAAAGACAAGAGAGACAGAAGACAGAGACAGACGAAGGAGAGACAGAGAGACGGCTCTTTATCCCTCCCGCTGCTCAGCCAGTCGCTCGCTACCGGAACTGTCCCTGTAGGTTCCCTTTCTCCCGTCCTGGATGCTCCCGTTGCTCCCGCGCGGCCGGCCAGTCTGGATATGCCCCTTTTTTCTCTTATATCTATAAAACAAACTACAACCGCCATTTCACTGCCTTATTCTTGTTTATTTCTGTTAATTGAGCGTTACTGATACTGATTGATACTGATTGCTGATTGCTGATTGCTGTGATATAGATATAAAAGCCATACGAATGGTTGCGTGACGGCGGCCTCAGTCGTCCGGCCTCACCACCAGCAATTAAAATATATAATATATTAATTATCACACGGAGAAGACGAAGAAGAGAAGAAGACAGACACAGATGATGCCGGGAGACGTCTCGCCGGCCTTCATGGGCGGCCGCGTGAGAAGCACCAGCCTCTCCTTCGAACGCAGCGCCAGCATCAGCAGCAGGGCCAGCGCGCCCTCGCCGCCGCTGGTCAACCCGGCACCGCAGTACGTCGCCATCTCAGCGGCCACACAGTTGATATCGGCCTCGCACGGCGTCAACCCGCTCCAGCCCAAGGAAGGGCGCCCTGGAAATGCCATTGTGACGCCGCCGTCGCTCGTCCTGGTCAACGGCTTCCTCGACCACATCCTGTTCAACATCCTGCTGGCCGCCAAATCGACCAAGCTGGCCGCCATCCGCCCGGCCGTCTCAGACGTCCTCAAGCCCCGGCTGGCCCGCGCCGTCGTCTCCGTCGCCGACGAGGAGCTGAGCGAGTACATGGGCACCAGCGACGAAGAAGAGCTGACGGGCTACGGCTACTCCCAGGAGGCCGCCGGCCAGGGCCACTTCGAGCTCGAGCGCTCGTGGAAGCTGACCCGGCTGCGCTGCATGGTCTACGCCCGGCTCGGTGACATGGAAGAGGACGACGAGGAAGAGTACTTGCAGCGCGAAGGGCTGAGCGAGACCAACGGCCGGCCGTACTTCATGAACCACGGCGGCATGCTCTCGCCCGCGGCCGCCATCTTCCTGACCTCCATCCTCGAGTACATCGCCGAGAACATCCTGATCATCGCCGGCGAGAACTCCAGCGCCCGTCTGGGCTTCTCCGACGAGAACGACGAGCGCAAGTACCAGGGCGGCACGCTGGTCGTGGACGACGTCGACGTCGAGAAGGTCGCCCTCAACCCGACCCTGGGCCGCCTCTGGCGCACCTGGCGCAAGAACCTGCGGGCTCCGGCCCTGTCGCGGACGCTGTCGAGAGAGTCGCTGGTGCGCCGCGGATGCTCATCGCGGACGAGCACGCACAGCAGCGTCGGCACCTTTGATACCTTTGATACCTTCAACGGCTTCTCCTTTGGCCGCAAGATCTCGAGCGCCGATCAGCATGTTTCAGACACCGCCAGCGTCAGCACCTGCGTGAACATCAACCCAGCTGACATCCCCCTGCCGATTAGCGAGTATGGCATTGACGAGATTGAGATCCCCGGTTTCAGCGCCCAGCTCGCCGTCGCCCTGCCCGCGCGCTCCCTGCGGCCCCGGAGCCTGTTCATCTCGAGCCCGGAAGTCGCAGGCAGGCCGGTCCTGGCCAGGAGCATCAGCGCCATCTCTCCCCGGGTCGTCATGGCATCGGCGTCAGCGTCATCGTCGTTGCAGCCCGCTCGTTCCAGCACCAGGCGGGCGCATATCCGCTCCCAGTCGCTGCCCCAGTCGATGTATATAACGTCGCCCCTGGCCCCTTCGCCGACCCGGGTCAAACGGTCAGCTTCGTCCGCAGCAGAGACTCGCAAGGAAGACGAACACCTCGAGAGCATGCCAGAGGCTGAAGAGCCAGAGACTGACACCAAAGCCGGAGAATCAGCATCAGCATCGGCAGCAGCGGCGGCGGCGGCAGCAGCAGCAACAGTAGCAGCAACAGCGGCAGCAACAGCAGCACCGGCATCAGCAGCATCAGAGCTGGAGCAGGCTGGTCCTGACTCGGCGTCCATCTACAGCCCCTATCACCCGGCTTCTATATCCTCTCCTCGCTGCCAGGACTCATCAATGGAGCAAGAAACCGTCTCTCCGCCCAGCAGCGAGACGGGCGATAACAACAGCGTTGTCTCGTCTATCTATACCATTCCCGAAGCCTCCCGGGTGTCTTCCAAGGAGTCCGCTGAATCTACAACTTCGCAGACTGCAGACAGCAGCTCTGCACGCATTACCACCTGCGAGGACATTGCAGACGGTAACCCTGCATACTACTCCTCTTCATCCCTCACAGACGACGACCAGGCCGCCCGCAAGGCTGCTCGCCGTAAAGCAACCGCCCCCTTACCCCCTACCAGCAACCCGTTCGGAGACAACATCGTGGAGACTTCCTTCGTCTCCCGCTCTCCTCGCTCTCCAAGCCGTGGAGCTCGCCTCACCCCCCTGACCGAGGTGGCAGACAACACCCCCGTGCAGAACGAGCGTTCGTCGCCAGACCAGGCCTCTATCAACTCCGGGGACAGTGAACCCTCCGTCACTCCACGGAGCAGAGCATGGCTCACAAAAATCAACACCAACTGTTCCACAAGACAGAACTTGCCTGTGTCTCCGGGGTCAGAACGTGCAGCCGTTCAACGAGTCACACCTCCCCCGTCCAGCATCTCTCGAGACTCTAGCAAACTACGCAGGTCAGAGAGTGCAGGCAGCAGGCGTGACGGTCGACCCATCACCTCTGGCTCCGGCGTCTCCCAGGGCTCCAACAGAATCAGGGGCTTGATCAGTAGACAGCCATCAGACCTGTCTGTCTCCGTCATCTGCTCGTCAGACGGCAGCGGATCTGGATCTACAGCCCTGGAGGAGCTTCTCATGAGTGACGAAACAATCCACTATACCCTGACTCCACGAAACATGCGTGAGATGGAAGAGGTCGGCTCCCCTCGATGGGCTGCTACTCGTCCAGCAGACCTGGCTGCAGACCCTGCCGATACGAGCTCCGTCAAGAGCGGAAAGCAGAGCCGCAGGATCCTGTCGCCGACCTTCCGCTCCCCTTCGATCTCATCCCCTGTGCCTCAGTCTCCGCTTGCTCGAAACCCCCCTAGCCCGCCGCCGCCAAAGCCTAAGATGCCCGCTCCACAAGCTCGCGATGCTAGAGTCGAAAACGCATCCGTGAGAGACTTCGCCAACTTCATTCGTTCCACAGGACCTGATAAGGGGTTACACCCACCCGCCGCCCAATTTAATAGCATTGCTCGCGCTGGCAACAATTCCATTCCCAACTCTCCTGCAACGACAGGAACCTACTCAACCAGCCCCCTCGCCACGCCAAAGGCCTCGACGAAAGATAATAATAATAATAATACCTCCTCCAACATCACTTCCACCCCGCGAGCAACCAACCCGAACCGGCCTCGTCTCGAAGCTCGTCCGGCAGTCTTTGTCAGAGATAACAAGACCTCCGAACTGATCGACTTCATCCGTCAGGGGCCCCCTGATCCTCAAGCTCGTCGTCTGCAGCAGAAAACCGTCGCTCCATTCAGAAATACCATGAACTCAGACGATTTCAGCTCCTTCAGCCAAACAATCCGCAGTGAGCGTGACTTCACCATTGGCGATAGCTCAATACCCGGCACCCAGGACGGCTCCATGGTCGCCGCATCAGTTGCCTCCGTCAACTCCCACACGGCGCTAATCGACAGTAGCACACGGCCTAACAGCCGAACGCTCCAGTACCGGCTCTCTCCAACCCCAAACATTCGAGGCGATGGTTCGGCAACGCCCGCTAAAACACGCCGGCGAGTCAGAGACCCGTACGCCATTGATTCGGATAGCGAGGATGAATACGACGACGTTCGCGATGTGGCTAAGCCCAAGGAAGAGAGTCTGGCCGAGTTCCTGAAAAACGGGCCCCCTCCCCCTCCACCTCCAAAGCCACAGCCGTTCACCATCAACATCCAAAAGGCCAACGAGCTGCATCGCCAAAAGGCCATGAGGCCGCCCATCTCGCGAAGCGTAACGCTAGACTCCACCTCCGAGGCCGGGTCGCCTGCTCCTCCCAGACTCGTCGACCTGCCACCCAAGTACAACTACCACAGCCATGCCGGCAGACCACAGGCCTCGCTTACTTCGGGCTCTTCGTTTGTCGCTACCATTCATGCAGACCAGCCTGATAACCAGTGGCATTCGGGCGGAAGACTGCCCAAGGGCGTGATCAAGGGCGTCGATGCAGATAGTCTTTACCGATCCAACAAGTCTGATACCGCTGCTCTAGCAGATTTCCTGAAGAACACCGGTCCTCCGTCTTCCCCTAGCGTAAGCTCCCTGCAGTCCATGAAGACAGGAACATCAGCTAGCTGGACATTCAAGACTTTCCTACGAAAGAAGAAACAAGTGGCATAGTCTTATCATCAAACCCTCCTCTCCCTCTCTCCCTTACCCCCCCCCCCTTTTCTCCTCGTTCACGAAACCTCGCTCCCCCTTCCTGCCCTCCTTTTTCTCCTGGGAAAAACATCCACGCTTTCGAAATGTTCTACCATATTGTTTAATTAATGAATATGACTTTCGGCCCTTGTTACATTATACCTTTTCCTTCGTCCCGCCTCGTTGTTTCTTCTTTTTTTCATCTCCCTCTTTTCATCTTCATCTTTCTTGGTACAAGGGTGGCAGTATATATATTTCCTTTTCCTTTCCTATTCAAATCAAGACAAGATCCAGCCTTGGTTCCTCACTCGTTCTTCTTTGGCGAAAAAGACCTTCCTCACGTATATACACAGATTCTGCTCCAGCTTTCTCCTATTTCACTTATTTCCGCCTTCTTCCCGCCCGTTTTCCTTGGTCTACTCTACGCTACGCTCGCTGAACGCATACAGAATGTGTTGTATCCCTTTCTCCTTCTTCCTTCTATATACCACCTTTCCGTCCTGTTTCTTAACTTCCCTTTGGGTCTCATTTTTGTCATATAATACTTTCCCCCACTTCATAGCCATTACGGTGAGATGCAAGTCATGAAAATACTCTTTCTTCCACGCTATCTTACTCTTACTTTTCCATGACCAAATTTTTTAACTCCCTACACTACGCTGTGTCAACAGTTCGAAAGCCAGGGTGACAAATCAGCCAGGCGGTGTTCCGGGCCTCGGAAACCGGACTCCAACGGGCCCATAACCCTCCCGAACTATCTATCGACTGGGTCAGGTCATACATGTATCTGGACGATCTGGCGGGGGAACAGCGGTTCCGTTCGTCTGTTGAAACTATACCTGGGGAAGATGTGCGGGTGTTCACAGGGTGAAACGCATGCAAGTCAAAATGATCTGCTGCCGGTTAGCGTGGACAGGGGTGATGCAAAACAAGACTGCAGAACTGCAACCGCAAGCATGTTCGAGAGTTGATCTTGTGACGTGAAAACGCTTTGCTTTGACGGGTATACGTGGGTATTTTTGATCTATGTTGTCATCGATATCGACGTGGCATGTGGCATGGCATGCGAGTGATGGACGTGGAACCTTGTTGATGAGATATCGTTTTGCATTTTGCGTTGCTGTTGCAGGTTGTGATGTGTTCTTTGTCTCTTCTCGAGCGAGAGCTGATACATGCAATAGCATTGACGTTATGCAGGTATGCAGAGCAAGGACAGGTGGTGTTGATTCGAAGATGTATAGGTACATCTGATCTGAGTTTGTTCGTAGACGAGTCATATCGGTTGGTGTTATGATACAAGTTGGCGATATCTAGTTTGATATCTCCATAGACACAATATCTCACTGTTTGCCAACACATGACAAGGGATTAGTTAAACCACACAACAAAATGAATTGTCCGTTTTCATATTTTTTTGATGATTATCTTGTTGAAGCATCACTGTCAATGGTCTTCTTGTTGCCACCAAGGCCCGAAATTGTAGATGGGGGGTCGTCGATACCAGCGTTTTCAGAGACGAATGAGTCTTGAGACGCAGCTTAAACAGTGTCAGTTTGGACCTATTAAGCTAGGGATATCCGTGAGCATCTTTCGATACGGATACTCTAGTGGAGGCTGTTCTGCAGTCGAAATTGACGAAGAGGCGACATCCACGGCCCTTGAATCGATAGTTGACATTGCAGCCCAGATTGAATGTGACCTATCTCCAACATATATACCGCTGTTCTCAGTGGAGATGTGCTTTTAGAACAAACTCCACCCCTTTATGGTATATCCAGTCTCAATCTGTCTTCGTGTTTGAGATGTATAGTTAGTAATCGATGCCTATGTTTATATATAGATGGGACTCTGGCGTAGTGTTTGAGGTGGGTATATTAGACGGTCTTGGATATCTAGCATTATGAGTGATACTAGCTGGACATTCCTCCAGCCTTAGAGCAGAAAATAATATCTAGGAGAGATATCAACCTCCTGAGTATCTGCGTATCATCGTAGCCACGGGCAGGAGTTGGCCTCCTCAGGGAGGGAGAATTGGCTTGCAGTATCTAGCTGTGAGCTAAGTTCACGTTTACTACAGCAGCACAACCGGTATACACATGGACGGCTTAGCAGTCAGATAATTACCCAGCTGCCGTATACTGTACCAGTAAATAGTTGGTAGTATTGAATGTAGAGCTCAGGGGCTGGCCAGGACTCCTGGAGGTCCCCCAGGTTGGGTCCCATCGATGTACATAGCTCGCCGGAGTTTCTATTTTCCTTGGCCTGCAACCGCCCGGGCAGCGCCAGGGACAAATATACGTAACCCTAAAGTTGGACATCGAGATAGCAGTGCAGGCGACCAGGCGCATCCAGATCAACCGCCCTTCTCTCCACAGGCTCCCTTGGTGGTGATCCTCCTCCCTCGACCTCCTCGCTCTCCCTATTACTCCCTCTTATCCACGGCAGAGACCAATATGCGACGGGGCTCAGCCATGGGACTGCGGTCTCCTTTCGAACTTCTCTTCCTCCTCTTCACCCTCCTTGTGCCTCTCACCTCCGCCGTACGATTCGATCTCATCCCAAATACACACTCAGGAAAGCATGAAAGGTGCATAAGGAATTTCGTTGCGCGTGACCAGCTTGTTGTCGTCACTGCCACCGTGAGCGGCTCGAAGGGAGATGGACAGGTTGTCAACATGCACGTACGTGGTGGACTATTCTCATCATTTTCAAGACAAACAGACTGCAACTGCGAATTGCACGATATACTAGAATGCATGCTAATTGGATTTGTGTTGGATGGAATAGATCAAGAGTTCTCTAGGCGACGATTACGCCAAACCAAAAGATATCGCCGGCGAGATCAGACAGATGTTTACTGCCAGCGCCGACTCTTCCTTTGACGTTTGCTTCTCCAACGTCCTTTCTGGGCGACGTAAGTCTTACCTTGGCAGATTTTCTTCATTGGCATTGCAAACAGTGGAATTTTGGCTAATTTTTTTTTTTCTTCCTGATTATAGATGCTGGCCCCAACCCTTCTCGCCAGGTTGAGCTGAGCATTGACATCGGTGCTGATGCTCGTGACTGGGATGCTATCAAGGTCCAGGAGAAGCTCAAGCCAGTTGAGGCTGACCTTCGCCGTTTGGAAGCCATGATCACTGAAATCGTTGCGGAGATGGACTTTATGCGCGCACGAGAACAGAAGCTCCGAGACACCAATGAAAGTACTAATGAGCGAGTCAAGTGGTTTGCTTTCGGCACCATGGGTATGCTGATTGGTCTTGGTGTCTGGCAGGTGGTCTATTTGAGAGCCTACTTCCGGTAAGTTTTTTTTTTCTTCAGTTGCAGTATTGGTCCCTTCATCTGGTTCCGCTTGCTAAATGATTTCTTTCTACGATTAGCTCGAAGCATCTTATCTAAAGCATCCATAAAGAGATTTCTTTTGGCGAATGGTGAAAGCTGTCCTTTCCTACCGAAGGCTCTGATCCGCTTCTATGTCTGCTCAGGTACTTTTGGGCGGCCTTTCTGCTTGCTCGGCTTCATTTATACTTCCTCTTTTTCGATATCTATCACGTCTCATTATGAGGGAATACGAATTGTAACTATGATCACTATTCAATTAGCATCTGCGAAAAGCTACAGGGTTTATACATGGATGAACGTAAAAATAATTATCTTAGTTTGTTCAGTTACTAAAGTATCAACTGTTATAGAGGCTCCCAAACGGGTAGTTGGAGTTGTGAATCTGATGGTCCAGGCGATGCAAACAGTGCAAACAGAGCTCGGATGATGTCAAATCTTCAAGTTTCATCAAAGGAGCCAGCAACTGTTGGCAACTGGATCTCGACGCAGAAGCATAGCAATTCGGTCTCTCATTTACTCCAATGTCTACGGCGCATAGTATATCTCGATCGCTAAGCCGAGGACTGGCCTCGTGCAGATGCCGCTCTCCAGTTCTCTCGTTTAGGTCGTCACCAGCATCCGGCGCATCCATCTCATATCAACACAATGCCAGCATATACCCTACCTCGTCCTCGGGATTCCGATGTCTAAGTTATTCTTCCCATCTGAGTAGCAATGGAAGCGCAGGAAACAAGGGTAGCAAGGCGGAAGAGCAGCTAGTTCCGGGGCAAACAAAGGGTGAACTTGCGGTCGGAGAGATGGAAGGCATTACGTTCAAAGTCGAGCCATTGAAGAGAAAGGGAGAGGATAATAGCACAAAGAGAGCGAGGTTGCTATGTGAGTGCCATATTAAATGCCATAGAAGCTACATCTTTCGTCTAGGGGGACTAACATCAAGATAGACCAGAGCCGCAAACGGGGAACTCTAGAGTCGGACCTGCTCCTGTCAACGTTCGCATCTACATATCTGGCAAAGATGACGGGAAGCCAACTTGATGAATACGACCGGTTCCTGGATGAAAACGACTGGGACATCTACTACTGGGCGACTCAGGAGCCACCGTCTGAGTCCGAGGCAGCTGAGGGCGCGTTGAAGGCCAAAGACGAGCTGACGGATACGTGGAAGAGCGGCGCAGCGAAGAGCGGAGAGTGGGCGCAGACAGTGGGAGCTTTCAAGCCAGCATACCGGCCCGTCCCTCAGCGCTGGGCTGACTCGGAGATTCTCGCTCTGCTGCGACAGCACGTCCAGAGCAAGAAAGCTGGAGACGGCAGCAGCAAGGGAAGCGGCGGTGGCCTGGGACGCATGCCCAACATCGAGCCCTTCAAGTCGTAGCGTATACCTCCGTGTCAGTACATTATGTATCACCAAGCCATCTCATCTGCATCGACCATAGAATCATCATCATCATCATCATCATGCTGGTTTCATCTATATAGTTGTATCGCGAGACGTTGAAAAGGCGCTCGCTTAATGCCGGTTAGGGTTTAGCGCGCACACTGGCGTTTAGGGTTTGCCTGGATGCGGAACACGCCTAACTCCTTTCTGCGATTTGTGTGAAAAAAAGATCGAAGAGAGACAACAACTTCAACTGCTCGCCCTTCATCCCTCTCCGTCCACCACCACCCCTCGAGGATTTACGAGAGCATCACGCAGTCGAGCTCGAGTCCGCACATCATGGCTGAGCAGCTAGTCCTCCGTGGAACCCTCCAGGGCCACAATGGCTGGGTTACCAGCTTGGCCACGACTTTGGAGAAGTAAGGACAATTCCATGATGATTCCTGTGATTGAGAAGAGAAGCAAAGACGATGAGCTTCAGGCGGATGGAGGATGATGCTGACAGGCCGGTTTAGCCCAAACATGCTCTTATCCGCCTCCCGCGACAAGACCCTGATCGTCTGGAACTTGACCCGCGATGACACCGCATACGGATACCCAAAGCGATCCCTCCACGGCCACTCTCACATCGTTTCTGACTGTGTATGATATTCCCCCGGGTCCAGTTGATATTTTTGCGCAGGGTGACGAGATATGGAGGGGAAAAAAACCATTGAAGAGGGGCATAAGCCATGGGGATTTTCTTTTTTGCATGGCTAATTATTGATATAATAGGTCATCTCCTCCGATGGTGCCTACGCTCTCTCCAGTTCCTGGGATAAGACCCTCCGTCTGTGGGAATTGGCTACCGGAAACACCACCCGCACTTTCGTCGGCCACAACAACGACGTTTTGTCCGTTTCCTTCTCTGCTGACAACCGTCAAATTGTCTCTGGTTCCCGTGACAGAACCATCAAGCTGTGGAACACCCTTGGTGACTGCAAGTTCACCATCACCGACAAGGGCCACACCGAATGGGTCTCCTGCGTCCGCTTCAGCCCTAACCCCCAGAACCCCGTCATCGTCTCTGCTGGTTGGGACAAGCTCGTCAAGGTACGAATCACCTGACTACCAGCAACCTCCTCGTTTTCTATGTCGCCTTGTTTTCCAAATGATGTTTTGCAATTACGTATTTGCTACTTCAGAGCTCCGTTGCGGGCCATGAGACCATTATTCACCTTTGCCCTGATGGAAATTACCCTCCTTGATTATTATATACTGCCCCAGACAACTTTTCTTGGAGTATTATTGCATTTCTTTGGACGCATTTGCTAACAATCGAGGTACAATAGGTCTGGGAACTCTCCACCTGCCGCATCCAGACTGACCACATTGGCCACAGCGGCTACATCAACACTGTCACCATCTCCCCTGATGGCTCTCTTTGCGCCTCTGGTGGCAAGGACGGCGTTGTCATGCTCTGGGATTTGAACGAATCGAAACACCTCTACTCTCTCAACGCTGGTGATGAAATCCACGCTCTCGTCTTCTCTCCTAACCGCTACTGGCTTTGCGCTGCCACCGCCAGCAGCATCAGCATCTTCGACTTGGAGAAGAAGAGCAAGATTGATGAGCTCAAGCCTGAATTCGAGGACAAGGGCAAGAAGAGCCGTGACCCTGAGTGCATAAGCTTGGCTTGGAGCGCTGATGGCCAGACTCTGTTCTCTGGATACACTGATAACAAGATTCGCGCCTGGGGTGTCATGTCAAGGGTATAAAAGTACCACTTTTTATTCCCCTTTTGTCACATCTTTAATACCGGAGTGAGTTGTTTACTAGATAATGTCCAATGAAACAATATGACTGGTTGGGGATCATTCGGATGAAGCAATGCGCACACCTGATCGAAAAGGAGGGGCAAAAAAGGGCTACACCCGTGGACAACATGAGCTGTGGTGTTTTGATAGTTCCCTGGAGTTATTTACAAACGGATCTATCTAAATGGAAGCAAAAAAAAAGTTCAAAAAGCATAACCTGCCCACTGCTACCTTATCTTCAAAGCCGATGGCATTTTCTTCATGGACATTTAAGCTGGCGAGTGACCTATCGTATTGGCTAGAAAGGTTATGCTATGTACGTCTTTCACGACTTTAATGGAGATTCTACATCATGATTATACCTTTCTCGTTTGCCGTAGTTCAATGTACTTGAAACCTCTTCAACAGATTCTCAATCTAGAACCTGAACTTTGTCAAAATGTTGTACATGGGGTTTCTATGTTCGTAACTATCTTGCCTGTTTGAGAGGTATTATACATGGATGTCACTTTAGCTCACTTCTTGCGTCGCAGCCTCTTCAGTGCATCTTCCGCCTGTTCAGTTCCTTCCGCGAATTGAACTTTCACAGCCGCCGCTTTGGCCTTCCGATAGAAGTCCTCTGCCTGGTGAGAATTTTCTTGCATCTCAGCTATCTCTCCCAAGTTGAACAGAGCAACAACACAGGCTTGGTCACATTGCTCATTCTTATATGATTCCTCAACATTGCTAGCAACGTCTAATGCTTTTTTGGCCCATTCTCCTGCTGCGGATAGCAGCTGATCGCGTGAAACAGGGTTCAGAGACGCAGAAGAGGGCAACGCGGCGCCCAAAGGCACCTTTCCAGCCTGTTCCGCCATCTGACTAGCAATGTTATTTAGGAGAACAGCCTGGATGCATTTGTGTCGTCCATCTCCTTCATCCTCCTTGAATAAGGATATTGCTTGCATGTACAGAATGGTTGCTAGGTCGCTTCTGCCTTTATTTACATAGTGGTCAGCCAACTCACTACATGCATTGCCCACTTCGGAAAGTGTAAGGTATGCTGGATTTTCCTCATCCGATGTGATAGGCAGCTTCAGGTCCCTTCTTCGCTGAAGCTCTGCTCTGCTAGTTTCGAAGGCAGAGGTAAGGAATTTCTCTGCCTTCGCGGTATCATCAGGGTATTGTTCGGAGTATATATCGGCTAGTTTTAGGCTAATGCCTGGTATCTTCTTCACCACCTTGTCGCGCAGTTCCTCCTCTTCCTGCTCCTTCTTCAGACCAGCTTCGTGCTCAGCTACAGCATCGAAATCAGAGGGGTCAGGTCGGGTATTTTTCCCACTCTGATTTTCCCGATCCATTATCAGTTTTCGTCTCCTTCCATTATCTATCCAAGTCTCGCAATCATGCTTAATTGTTGTGAGAACTTCAATCGCTGCATCAAACAATTTTGCCTTCTCCAGCATAGCAGCTACCGCCAATCGTATGCCCAGCATTTCATCTGAAAATGGATGTAGTCCCAATTGATATCCAGCGGCTAATGCCTGTTTATAATAGGCCAATGCTGACGGTGGGTTGAGGTCCATTTCGGTATAATACACTGCCTTTCGAAGAGGCGTAGCTATTTCCTTAGGGAACTTTGTGAATTCCGGATTCACTCGAGTCATAAAGTCGTAGACAATGTATACTAGGAGGGCGGTATTTCCCACGGCGAAAAGGAGTGTAAGAGGAAATCCGATAGGGTGTTTGCGATGGACATTTCGTGCGGCAACCCGGAAATTGTCCCTGAAGCGCTGGTAGTATGTGTATGATCGGGATTGGGAGATGGATGGGTTGCGAGAGAGGAGTTGTATTCTTGGTCGATGGGCCGTTCTGCATGAAGAAATTGATCTCGTCATCGATTGCGAGAAAATCGGACTGTATATCGGTCGTGAGAGAGCGCTGACGCGCCATCCTAGTTTCGGCAGCATCTTTCTAGGTCATATCTAATAATTTGTTAGGACTGAAGCAAGTAGCTGCAAGCCTGGTCACTGATGCCTAGTTAGAACACAATCGAGATAATAACGACTTCACTCCCGGCCGGTGTTTGTGATAGCAAGTGGTAAATTTAAGGTTGCTTAGACATTTTTAGCGTGGTTTTTTTTATCGGAGTCAACCATGAATTCTGACAGCCAGAAATTGATTGCTTTCCTTCCCCTTAAGATAAAGATACATAACACACCGTGTATATTGATAGCCATTTACGGCGCTCTATATAAGACGAGGTATTAATATTTAACATAATCAATATGAGGGTCCCTAGCTGTGGTGCGTTAGATGGTCACGTGTACTAATCCGACTGGACTAGCCTAAGGTCTAGACTAAATACATCCAGCAAGTTAATTACAACCTCGAAGGCAGCAAGTTATCCTTGGATATATACCAGTCTTTGATATCCAGCTCTTTCTAACATATGCAAGGTTTATAACCAAGTTGTATACGCCAAAGAATTGGTCACTGCGGCAAAATGTGTGGGCGTTATGCTATGGGAATTGTATGCATGATCCTATGCTCTAATACAAGGAGACCACTAGTCTGATATATTTTGGGACAGCGCCTAGCGTTCATTCGACATCAGCTACAAGAGAGAGGACAGCAGATTGATGAGATAGCAGATGACGATGAAGTGAGGGAGACGTATAATTTTGCACCTGGAAACTACGGTGCTGTCCTCAGAGCGGACACCCCTGACCACGGTGGCGTGAGTCATGAAGCCGCTGAGGGAGAAGCTCCCGAAGAGCAACAGGATGCTGAGCAAGCCGAAGGAGAAGAGAAAGGCATCAAGTATAAGATTCAAGCCATGAAATGGGGGCTTATACCCTTTTGGACCAAACGTTCTCCAGACTATGGCTCACTGATGAAGACAATCAACTGTCGGGATGACTCGTTAATAGAAGACAGAGGCATGTGGACTTCGATGAAGAGGAAAAAGCGTTGCATAGTTATATGTCAAGGCTTTTACGAATGGCTTAAAACTGGCCCGGGGGGTAAAACCAGGCTACCGTATTATACCCGTCGAAAGGATGGCGATCTGATGTGTTTCGCTGGCCTGTGGGATTGTGTCAAGTATGAAGGCAAGTAGAATTGGCATTGGATGATATATTTTGGATGCGTGACTGACGCGTAATAGACTCGGAAGAGAAGCTGTATACCTACACGGTTATCACCACTTCGTCCAACTCACAACTGAAATTCCTCCACGACCGTATGCCGGTCATTCTTGATCCAGGTAGCAAGGCAATGGCAGCTTGGCTAGACCCGCATACTACTACATGGACCAAGGAGCTTCAATCACTCTTGAAGCCCTATGAAGGTGAACTGGAGACATACCCTGTTAGCAAGGATGTAGGGAAAGTCGGCAACAACTCCCCGAGCTTCATCGTACCGCTTGATAGCAAGGAAAATAAGTCAAACATCGCCAATTTTTTCCAAGGGAAAGGGCAAAAGAAGGGAAAAGCAGAAGTACCGGAAACCAAACTCGAAAAACCGGAAGGAGATTCCAGCAGCCTAAAGAGAGAACACACTCCAGATGATAAACCGGAGAAAATTTCTGCAGACAGCAACAAGAGGGTGAAGATTGAAAGCCCACAAAAAGAATTTGCCCAAGAGAAGATGGAACCCCTTAAAGGAAGCAGTCCTACGAGGAAGATGCGAAGTGCAACAAGCAATAACACGAAACCGAAATCCAGTGCTAAACCAAGTGGTGGAAACCAGCGAATTACCAATTTCTTCAAGAAGTGATGTAGTTGCGATTTGTGTTTGATCTATGTACGATATTTATCCCTCTTTTTGACTGGGGTCGCTGTCCAACATGCAATGTCTATTATACAAGTATACTTATCTTACACTTCGTTGTGAATAATGTTAATATCACTTCATTGGATATTGACACCTTTACTGCCGTATCTTCTGCTCCTCGGCCTTTAGTCTCTCAACCAACTTTTCTCTAAGAAATGGGCTTAGTCCAAGGCTGTATGTCGTTAGCAATGTGAGGCAAATCCACAGCAACCGTGAGGAACACTTACATTCCACTCCTCGTCACAATACGATATGTTCCTGGATTGTAGTTAGTAAAGCAATGGATTCATTTACGAAGTCAAAAAGAATGTATCATACCGCTGCTTTGATAGTTTCCTTTGCCTTCAATGTTACCCTGTCCATCAACCTCAATAGAACCAAATATATCCTCTGGCCTGTAATTATATGTTAGTTTCCCCACTAACACAACGGTGAACCCAATGGGTCAAACATACGAAGGTATCCTGCCGTATTCCGGCGGCTCTCTCGAATCAGCTATATGTATGAATCCACCTCGACCAGCTGATCCTGCCCCTTCTGCCCGTCCATGCATGCGTGAGAAGAGGTTCGCACCGGCAGTTGATGCCATTACTTGTGCTGCGGACACGGTGTCTGGGTCCTGGTACGCATGATCTGCTAGCACGGAGTCTAGGATTGATATGAAGCGCGGGTTTGGGGAGAATGTGGTTGGTGTTGGAGGGAGGGCAGAAGTAGTTGTTGATCCGATTGCGACGTCAGGAGTTGGAGGAGAGGTCGGTAGGAGTGATAACGTATGGCTCGTGCCTGTTGCATTCGGGAAAACGTACTATATGTTGGCGTTAGTTTATGTAAATGGCTTCGGACGGATATGGGACGGGGTGTGCTGGCCGTACGATGTGAGGATTATTCGACAGTGTTGATAGCTGCCTAGACAAAGGCCTGCTCGAGCCCATGATAGGGCGAAAAGCTCCCGTGAGAGAAGCCATTGGTCTTGCCTGGGCTGTTATTTTGGTAGCTAGGGCCATCGTTTATATCCCTCTTGGTGGAAGACAAGGAGACGTGTTAGTTAAGTGGCTGGGACAAACCTCAACTCAAAAGGCGATGTAGTTAATCATGGTTGACTACGAGTCGACGATGATGCTATGGCTTGCCACACCAAACACGCACACACCACACATATAACTGTATAAATATTAATAGGCACAACTCTCATATATTCTTTTCTTCTGCTTCTTAATCTGTCTTACTCGTCTTCCCTCATTACTATTCTTCAATAGACGCCTCAAAACTTTTTATCTCAAGTAGCTGCGCTCGAATTTCGCAACGGCGCTTAGTTAAAGCCCTTAAATATGGAGAAGACAAGTCCTCCACCACCCTACTCTGCTGCAGAGGATATACCCACAGTCAAACTACCCGAAGGTGCGGGAATGTAAGTACTACTACTCCTTAATAGAAGGAAATATATATTAACTATCTTTCTTATTTATAGTGTATTCATGACATCATCAGATAATGACTACTTTTATATTAAATCTATCAGCAGTATGAAACTCCATATTAGGCCAAAGGGACGGTAAGTAGCTTTGTTTATAAGGAGTATATTTAAGTATACTAGCAAGTCCCCCCAACACACCATATAACCATTAGTTAATTAGTACTAGGAACCCACAGGAAGAGGCTGCACAAATCAAGGCGCATAGGGCGAAACTAGACCAGTTAAGAGCCGAGATGTCTGCGTGGGCGAGAGCAGAGTGGGAGGTAAAGAAGAGAGAGAAGGCGAGACGCAAGGAGCGGGAAGCAGAAATAAAGAGGGAGAAAGCTATGGAGAAAGAGAGACGAAAGGAGTGGAAAAGGGGACGGAAGAGGGAGGCAGAAGTGGAATGGAGCAAAGCGAGAGAGAGGGTGGAGAGGCAGAGAGAGGAGGAACAGCGAGCATGATGCTATCGTCGTGAGACTGTAAGTAGTGTAGATAGCCATCATCAGATAGTTACTCCTAAAGCTCTGTTGCCAGTTATCAAGAAAAGACTCTTCGCTGTCCACTTCATGCGCAGGGTCCATTCACGTGACCAATCTTAAATCCGTAGCTCGTTTTGGGGTCCAACGTCCGACTTCAAAGACGAAGGGCAAAGCAGAGCCACAGCCTGAGAGCTGGGAATGCAGTTTGGATGCGGGAGCTGATGATAGTTACGTTGAAACGAGAGAAGGGAGCGACGCGCGATGGGACATTTTGAACTACGATTCTGGATACCAAAGTGCTGTTACTACGGGGGGTCCCTCTTCCTTTGAGCTGTGGCCACCAGCGGAGGCGGAGGGCTGAGAAGCGGCTTATTCGAACGAGACTATGCATAATATGATACCCATGGGCATTCGCTGTCAATAGAATCTCCATCTACACACTATCTTACCTTGGAAATTATAGTATTTGTTGTTGCTTTTTGATACCATCAAACCATGGCGACTCCTGCCAAAAACAACACGGCCAGCGCCAACCCCGGCGTTACCCCAACCCAGATCACTTCCTCACCCTATCCAGCTCCCTCGGCGGTGCCCATGGGACGCCCGCTATCGCATATTTCACCATCAGCAACACGAACCCCCTCACACCACCATCAACAGCAACAACACCAGCATCAGCAACAATCTCACCCAGGACAGCAGCAGCAGCAGCAGCCTACCTCGTCGCATTCACAGGCACCGGCACACCAGTACACGCCTATGCTTGATGATGCCGCAGGGTTTAGTTCGCCTTCTGCACTTCTAGCGCTGGGTTTATCTGGCATAACACCTTCTCCCGGCCCTGGGGGAGTCGCGATGACAGGCGGACTAAGTATGGGCATAGGCATGGGGCTAAGCATGTCTGACGCGATGGGGATGGGAATGGGAATGCCACTTGACCTGCCCATGCACTCGCTGCCAGGCGCAACAGCGAAAGATACGGAAGCAGAGAAACGACGAAACATGTCTGAGGTGCTATCTATGCTACGGTCACGGGTGGCGGGACGCGGCGTGTGTCGAGAGGCCGTTGAACGACTTGGCACGCTGGAAGGATTCGAGTGTATGTGGCAGGATAATAACCTAAGCATCGCGGGGAACAGCGTTGATTTGGAGATTGAGTTTGGCCGAGACGGGACAGAAGCTGATGTGGTGAAGGATGTGACGCTCCGTTATGCTACGCAGGATATGGCTGAAGGAGAGAAGAGGGAAGCTGCATCAGCAGTGCTGAAGAGGGTGTTGACATTTGGCGATGATGGTGATGGTGATGCTGAGGAACGAGTAGCTGCAGGAGAGTGGAAGCCAGTCGATGCATTCCACGCGAACCTGACGCGGCTGGCGAGAATGGATGGGTTGTGCAGAGAGGTCAACTGCTTCGAGGCGGTGGAAGGGGTACATGAGAGCCTGCAGAAGGTTTGGGACAGCACGGGTAAGGGCACGGACCCGGACCTGAAGCTGAACACAGACACAGACACAGACACAGACACGAAAAAAACCACGTCTGGGCCCGAAAGCAGGTTCTGGGAGCGGCTGTGTAGGAGCAGCAGTGTGGGCTGTCCCACCATGCACCGGGGCGAGAACGTTGGCCTGGCGATACACTACTGGGCAGACCAACGGCGGCTACTGGATGCTCAACGCACGTCGCTTGAAGAGGTACTGCAGGCTGAGCTGTCCCCGTCCCTGAAGCGGTCTAAGGGGAGCAGCAGACGGCAGGTATACAGTGCTGTGATAGAGTGTGAGGCTGGCTACCCGTCACTACGCATATCTAAGGGCTGGGTGGGCGATCCTACGGTGCTACCGACGCAGGACGAGAACAACAACGAAAACAATAACGAAAACGATATTAATATCACCAACAATGAAAAGAGCAACAATAATGATAACGAGGGCAATAATGGCGCCGACGATACGAACGGCAAGGTTGGCAAGACGCGAACGAACTGGCTAGAGCCCGACCCAACACTCGTCTCGACCGATCCTCTGCTGCCGTCGAGTCCACCGAATGTGCGCTTCGTGGCACGCTTGGAGCCAGCGATACATGTGCCCATCGTCGTGGCAGCAGAGGTGTATCGCCTGGTCGGGATAGCGATGCCGCAGGAGACGAGGGCGCCAGCCGCCTATGATGCGCTTGTGGTACCTGTTGAGCGGCGGCCATCGCGAACAGGAAAGGGGGAAGGCGGGGACGAGCAGGAAGAAGAAGAGCATGTGAGGACGGTACCTATCTTTGGCCAAACAGAAGGAGGAGAAGACGAGGTGACGAGGAAGAAGCATGTGTACAGCTTCCATGCCCTGGAGCATGTGCCTGGCTATACGGTGAGGGAGCTTCCCTTTTCGCATCCTCGACAGATAGAGGAGGTCATCCCCTTGCTTCGACAGTATGCTCTTCTCGGCAAGCTACTCAGCGTATTTCAGATGGGCACAAGCAATAATTCCAAGGGTAAGAACGAGGATGATGAAGATCAAGAGTCTGACGATGAAGGGTACATGCAAGAGGGCCATCGAATGGACAATGTCGATGCAGCAGAGACTCGGCTGAACAGCCTTCTCTCATCTACCGACAAGAGCGACGAGACGAAACGCATCTCGATCAGCCTACGGACGCCTGTCTCATCACCGCCGACCCTGCTGGTCGTCTTCCCCCTGGCAGCCTATCCCTCTTCCTCCTCTTCGTCTTCTCCCTCTTCTTCTCCCTCTTCCCGGACAGCCAGCGTCACAGTCGAGGTGCTCCCCGACGGCCGGCTGCAAGTGCCCTGCACCCGCGGGATCGTCGAGGTCGAGCCCTCTGCCTCTGGGCCCGCCAACACGCCCACGCGAGCTGCCGAGGAGGAGAAGAAGCTGTGTGGCTTGCTGGGTCGTGTCCTGGAGACATGCGAGGATCTGGGGTTGCTGGTCGAGTCCGCCTGCAAGTACGCCGTCCGCCGGCATCGCAGCTAGTCTAGTCCTAGTCCAAGTCCCATTATTAGTCCCACGCAGTCCCCGTCCGTCCCAAGATTCCATATTCCCATCCTTCCGAAGACCTCCCAACTAAGTAGGTAGAATATGTCGTGTAGCAGTCGACCTGCTCTATGTACGGTACGGAGCGACGGAGGCAGTTCGTTGCTGGGTTAGTGGTATATTACATAAGCTTCATGCGCGCGGGAACCTCGGCAGCGTCTTATGTCATCGTATTACTCATCGCCCTCTTTTTGGCTCTTGCTGTCTCTCTGTGTCTCTGTTGCCCAACCAACCAGACGCCGCCGTCTTATCTCCGGGCGGCCAAGCCGCCTGGCCAGCCAGCGCCAACAGCCAGCCACCAGGCGCAGCGCAAGTAGCTGCAGCAACGCAACGGCGGTAACCACGGCAGCACGACGGATGCCCCGTAGGTACCTCTTCCATCTATGCACCTCTGTAGACTGTAAGAGTATGTACTCCGTCAGTACTTCTGTTCGCTGCACATCCTCCTGTAAATCTTCTGCCCGCAGTGAAACAGCCGATCAGCGCAGCCTCAGCTCAGCTTCAGTCTCGGTCTCAGGTCTCAGGTCTCACCGCCTGCCCTTCTTATCTCAACCGCCGGCTCGACTATGAGGGATTTCCTTATCGCGCGCCCTTAGTCTTATCTCGGCGCTTCCCCCGCCTCTCCCTGCCTTATCGGGCGATCTCGCACCGCCACCAAAAAGGAAGAGGCCCAACCAAGAAGGAGCAAGAAAAAAGTGGGTCCGCCCGCCGTCTTCTCCCGGCCTTCTTCCGGCCTTTTTCTATTTTGGGCGACAAGGGACTGCTTACTTAAGCGCCCTGAGACTTGCCTTACGTCATCCACGCCGGCCGCAGCAGGAAAAGCGCAGGAAAACTTTGCCTTCTTTTTAAGCGCACGCAAAACCCGCTTTTCGCTTCTTCTTCTTCTCCTTTTCTTCCTTCTCTTTCTCTCTCTTCCTCTTCCTCTTTTATTATCTTCTGTTTATTCTTATCTTCCTCTTCTTCTGCTTCTGCTTCTCCTCCTGCAGCTCACTGTTTCTTCGCTGTTTCTCCTGCTCGGTTCTGTCGCTTGCTTGCTTGCCTTAGCTGCAGCTGCTCTTGTCTCCAGCCGACTCTCGCTTCTGCTTATCGCCTCTATCTACCCGTCCAAGCAGGACTTATCTCGCTGTTATCTCTCATCATGGTGGGTTCATCGCAGCAACAACAACAACATCAACAACATCATCAATTAAAAGAACAGTCTACTAACGATTGTACTACAGGCGAATACTCGTCGATCTGATGCTGCTAATGTGTGTGCCCTCGCTTGCTCCCCTGTCGTCGAGTCACATCCCGGACAACCATAACTAACAACGCCTCCAGCTCCAAAAATACATGGGCCTCGACCAGCGTGGAAAGGTCCTCGCTGAATACGTCTGGGTAGATGCTCACGGTGGTGTTCGCTCAAAAACAAAGGTTCGTCTTCAATTTTTTTATTTTTTCCATTTTTGCTTCTTTTTTGGTATATTTTTTTGCTGTGGTGTCGACCCTTGCTCGAACTCGCCTGGTTCCTGCATTAGCCCCCAGTCAACCCCTCCATACAGACAACGCTCACTGCTGGCTGGGGTGTGAACGGTGATCTACACGGGCCAGACGCTTTGAGTGATGAGTTTTGTCATTTGCTTGAGTATATACAGTTGATACTGACTCATACTGCTGTAGACTCTCAGTCGCCCAGTCACCTCGGCCGACGAGCTTCCAGAGTGGAACTTCGACGGCTCATCGACAGGACAGGCTCCCGGCCACGACTCAGATGTCTACCTCCGTCCCTGCGCCATCTTCCCCGACCCCTTCCGTGGCGGTGACAACATCCTCGTCCTCTGCGAGACCTGGGACTCCGATGGCTCCCCCAACAAGTACAACTACCGCCACGAGGCTGCTCGTCTCATGCGCACCCACGAGAAGGAACAGTTCTGGTTCGGCCTAGAACAAGAATACACACTCCTTGACGCTGATGGCTGGCCCTTCGGATGGCCCAAGGGTGGTTACCCCGGTGCCCAGGGCCCTTACTACTGCGGTGTCGGTACCGGCAAGGCCCAGTGCCGTGACATCGTCGATGCTCACTACAAGGCCTGTCTCTACGCCGGCATCAGCATATCCGGCATCAACGCTGAGGTCATGCCTTCTCAGTGGGAGTACCAGGTCGGTCCTTGCGAGGGCATCACCCGTAAGTTGTCTCCTATTTTTACATTGTGTGTGTCTGAACCCAACTAATAAACGAACAGTTGGTGACCAGCTCTGGATGTCCCGTTTCCTCCTCAACCGTGTCGCCGAAGACTTCGGTGTCGTCATCAGCTTTGCTCCCAAGCCCATCCCCGGTGACTGGAACGGCGCTGGCCTCCATTCCAACGTCTCCACCGCTGCCATGCGTGCTGAGGGTGGTATGAAGGTCATCGAGGCCGCCATGAAGAAGCTCGAGGCCCGTCACCCCGAGCACATCGCTGTCTACGGCGAGGGTAACGAGGACCGTCTCACCGGCCGCCACGAGACCGGAAGCATCGACAAGTTCAGCTGGGGTGTCGCCGACCGTGGTGGCAGTATCCGTATCCCCAGACAGTGTGCAAAGGACGGAAAGGGCTATTTCGAAGACCGAAGACCCGCCAGTAACGCGGATCCCTACCAGATCACTGGTATCATCGTTGAAACTGTAAGCCTTCCCTTACACTCCATCTTACATTCTACCATCATAGTCCATTATACTAACAAGTCTCTCCAGCTCTGCGGAAGTGATTAAACTCTCAACGAGATACCTACGTCGAAATGCATTTCCTTACCGTTTCCTTTCCGTCTCTTCAAGAATCAAAACACACCTAATGCCTTTTAATTAGATCTTCCACGCTTCGATGCCCCTTTTTACTGTTCTTCTTTTCCTAGCCTGTTCATGCCTAGCTCATGTTGTTTTCTCTCTCATCATGTCTGCTGTTTTCTTGTCCATCCATTTATCACTCCTTGCAATATGTCAGTTGCACACACAAATACTGCATATTGCTCCCACTGAAACCGTGGGATCGCGTTCTGTCAGGTTCAGTTCAGTTCAGTTCGGCTCTATCGTCGTTTACTTGTTTCTTCCCCATCCTATACAAAACGAAACGAAAAAAAAAAAAAAAAAAAAANGACGAAGACCGACTAAACTAACTATTATTACCGTTGCTGCTCTACTTTTTATATATCCTTACATTAATCTATATCAACCCGGCAAACCAGCTATCAATGTCTGCTTGCCTGCTGTTTCGTCAGCGTTACGACTACCAACTTGCTCCCTTGACCACCATTGCTTCCTTGACTTCTATCCATCGTGTATCTGTTTGCGTATCTTCGTGCCTTGCCTGCCTGCGTTATGCGGTAGATAGCCCCGGTCCTTTTCTTTTTACCACTGCTGTACAACAGACAAGAGCGCCCTTTTCGAGCTGAGAGAAATCACACTCATTTAACCCAAATTGTCTCCCACCACGCGTTTCAGCGTGCGTAGTTAGCTTGTTTCGTAGTTCGTATCAACCAACAGTTGAGGCGTTTGAGGCTGTGGGTGCGTGGTTAATCTCCGATCCTTAAAGCGTTTCATCGCTCGCCTGTTTACTTGGCTACGTCCCTGTTGGCTGCAACGGCAACGCCCAACCGAGAGAGACTTATTACAGGGTAGTGATGGCCATGCAGGCAGTCAAGGACCGATTGGATGCTCGGAAGATGCCGGTGGATGATGGTTGCAGGTAGAAGTAGGGAGATCGGACTATGAATGCCGATGGAGGGAACATGGGATACTTCTACAAAGATGAAAACCGTTCAACTATTAATTGCTAAATGACTACTATCCTTTTATCCAGTATTCCCCAAATATCATACAGAAATCAATTGCTTTTCATCTTATCAGCCATTTCGCCCACCAGACGCCTCTCCATCCACGCTGCTCCTCCTTCTGCTTGCCCCAGACTATCATCCCCACGACCACAGCGGCGAGAATACTCCCGCCAACAATCCCGCACATCACCCCGTTGCTGCCCCTATACCCCCTCTTCACGTCCCCTTCCCAGCCCGTGTACAGTGCATACGTACTTACAATGCTGCCCAGGTTGCCTAGTCCACTCACTATAGCCGTCGAAGCAGCAACACCAACGTCACCATACCTTGCGCCAAACAGCTCGGCGGTCAGAGACATGGTGATGGGCACTGTCGGGCCCAGACCAAAGCCTACGATCAACAGACCACCGTATGCAGTCCAGGTGTGCGTGAAGGTCGTAAGCAGCAAGCCAGTAAGCAATATCAGACACGAGAATATGAATATTGCCGGTCTGTGGTGATGGAACGCATCGGATATCGGGGTCATGATCAGTATGGCGATCAGGTCCATCACCCAGATCGGCGCAAAGAGCAACGACAGCTGCACGCCCGTCAGCGAAGGGATGGCAGCCCGGATGATGACCGTGCCGTAACTTTGGACTCCGATACCAACGCCCACGACGCCAAAGTACATTATCGTCACGGGCCAGAGGCGCCAGTCGCACAGGATGCGAAGAACATCCGACCAGCCCCATTGGACCTTCTTGTAAACACGCTGCACATCGGCATAGTGTAGCTCTTCATCCCGGCCGGATAGGGCCGGTGTGGTGTTGGGTATCCATCGAAGCCAGGCCGAGCGAGGCGGGCGGGATTCGCCTGGTGGTACTGGTCGGTCTGGTAGCCACCACAACAACGTTATGCCCATCACAGTACCGACTAGACCCCAGATAAGGAACATCCATTGGAACCCTACGAGGCCCTGCAGGCCGTCCATTTTCTGGAATCCAGCTGATACTAGTCCAACGACTGCAGCAGATACTTGGGCGGCTGTGAAGTAGAAGCCTATACGCTGGCCGGTGCGGGCGGGAGGGTAGAAAAGTGATAGATAGTATGCCATGCCAGGCCACATGCCTGCTATCACGATTCCAAGTAGCAGACGAAGGAGACTAGAGTTTCCATAATTTGGTTAGATATAGGAAGCAGTTGAATCCATGGATTGGGCAGGGTATATACGTACTATAACGACCACGCGGCTTTGACAGCTGCCATCAGCGCCCCTATCACGCCAACACTGATGACTATCCGGCTCATCCAGACATGAGGGCTTAGCCTGGCCATAATCAGGTTCGACGGTAGATCGAATAAAATATAGCATACATAGAACAGTGCCAAACTCGTCGAGATCTGCCGGGGTGTCAGATGTAGCACATGGCCCAGGTCATGTTTTTCCTTGAGATTCATCGTCTGGGCCAGCCCGACATTGGATCGGATGGCAGAACAGAGGAAGTAGAGCGTCCATAGCGGCGGTATGATACGTATGTCCAATTTGCGGTATATGCGATCCAACGTCTCGTCGTCTGCTTCGTTGTATCCGGCGAACTCGGGTTCTCTCTGCTCTTTTGGTCCGCTAGACCCTGAATCCCCGTCCTTAGGCCAGTGGCTCTCCATTGTTCGTCAACTGCAACAGAAAATATGGGGAAGCTGATAAGTGATGGGGATTCCTCGGCCCGCTAACTAGCCAATTCCCAGGCAAAGAAGCCTGTCAAGTCGTTCGAGGAGACGGTTGAACGGTCTACTCATACGTCAGCCTTGAGTGAAGAAAACTTCTCGAAGGATAGGTTATTGGTTTTTTTTTAGAATGTCAGTGCGGGAAATACGATCTTACTGGCTCTTTACTGGCAAGGGGGATCTTCCGAACAAGTCCCTGGCTGATTCTGTCGAATGTCTAGCTCCTTGGCCAGCCTGCAAGACAGAAGCAACCTGGCAGAGCCCCGATTGATTAGTCGACGGGGGAGCGGAAGTCCCGTTGGCTGGCGATGTCCAATCGCTGCTGCAGATAAAAATACCGGGGTTGGGCGTTCTCAGACTCGCAGCCGTGCAACCCTGGCCTGGCGTCCTTTTTTATGCCGTCCGACAGCGGGTTAACTGGACGAACGACAGAATATAAGACGTCTTTTGGCTGGCGATGTCGTTGCTGCGTCCATCTCGAGACTTTGCGGCGTCGTTCTTTTTGCCCTTCTCGTCCACACCTATGCTGACTAAGGCGGTTGGTTGGCTTTGGGCAATAACACTTTTTTAACGACTCCCGGCCAACGACATCGCGACATCAGATGCCCTGGACTGCGCCATCCCTGGAGGCTGCTGGATGTTTATACATCGCGATACCCGAGTTATGCAGGAGATGTGCTCGTTTTATACACGATAAACACGCTAGGCTGCAACATAACAACAAACTGTCGATCAGTGCGTCTGGCTGGTCCATGTACCAGGGATAATAAAGAAATGGCCCTTTGCGACCAGCTGAAAGGCCCAACCGAGTTCGAGCCATGCCTCCAATCCGCGGGCTAAACGGCATATTCGCTCTGGCTCACCCTTGTTAATGTGATGCATAGCCTTGCATGACGTCTGCGCTGCTGCTGCCCGGGCAAAAAGCTCGGGTAGTTGGCCAGTCCGGGGTGCACAGGACATGACACGATAAGCACGAACGACATCCCACTTCGTTCGGTTCAGCCTGGAGAGACTTCATCGAATATATTTGGCCTAGAAAGCACATTTGATTAACTCTTCCTCTCTTAGTAAAAGGAAGCATTTCAACATGGCAACCGAAGGCTTCCCAAATCACCCTGTTTTCCAACAGCTCATCAAGTCTATCCCTTTGAACGAGGGGGTTATCATTCATGACCCTAACAATGATATCACTGCCACCTTTGATCGTTTCATGAACGATGTTGTCGAACTGCGACGCACCATCCGTGAGCAGATTCCGGATCTTCTCGACTCTAACGGGATAATCCGTGATGAAGGTGTATATATCTGCACTCTTGCACCGGCAAGTTATGAGATTTTCGTAGCTACCTTTGCCGTATGGGCAGTGGGAGCGGCGGTGTCCCCGCTGGGTATGTGTTATTTCTCGTCGTTTTTTGGGATACCGTTTGGATATTAACGGTTCCCTTGTATAGCAACTGGCCTTACACCCCAGGAGGTCTCTTTTCTCATCCAAAGGAACAAAGCTGTGCTCCTGATAGCCAGCGCGAGCCAGCGCGATGCAGCTGCCGCAATCCAGAGTTACATCAAAAACGAGACTGGAAACGCTATCAAAGTCATTGGCGTAGATCTCAACGTTCCAGTTCCGTCAACAAAACGCCAGTACCATATCGACGAGAATATCGTCTTTTCCCCACGCCGGCCATTAATTCTCCTCCATACATCTGGCACCACTGGCCTACCCAAAGGAGTTATTCGCACAATGCCTGCGTACGACCTCCGTACTGTGGCCGGTGCTTCGAACGAAGACCTCGCGCTGTGCCACCGTGCTGTTCACTGGGGATTCGGAATATATCCTCCAGTAGCTTCGATCTCGAACGGGTTAGCCATTTAAATTGTTGATCCGGACCCCAGCCCAGAGCAAATATGGGAGGTTATCCGCCAGCAGAAAATAACGATGGCTTATGCTACCAATCTGACCTTGCTTCGTCTGATGCAGTATTACAAAGAGCATCTGGCCGTGCTCGAACCCGAAAAGGTAAAGGAATACAGTGAAGGAATGAAGAAAATTAAATATATCGGTTGTGGTGGTGCAGTTCCCATGCCCTCTGTCGGACAATTCTGGAAAGACATGCGTGGCAGCATCCCCATCACCATTCTTTATGGCACGACCGAGGGTGGTGGAGGGACAAGCACAACCCCTGAAGGCTATGATGTCACGAAGGTATGCCCGCTATTATTTCTCCCGGGTCATCAATGCTTCTCAATTCTGCTTTATTCTAACATATTGTTGCGGATAGCGTGTGATAGGCAAGCCCATGCCTGGTGTTGAAGTCAAGCTTTCCGAAGGTGACCATGGAGAGATTCTGTTGAAAAGCGGTGATCTATTTCTTGGGTGAGTTCATTGGCCTTGCTAGTTTTACTGGGGCTTTGCCAACTCCTTCGTAGATACCTTAATAATGAGGCTGCTACAAAGGCGGCATTGGACGAGAACGGGTTCTACAAGACAGGTGACCTGGCCCACATTGAGGAAGATGGGAACTACGTTATTGATGGCCGAGTCAACGAAGATTGTGAGTGCATCTTCATCCCTATCGCGCTAATATATCCTGTCAAAGAAATATCATACTAATCTCCCTAACAGTCGTCCATTCGAGAACCCTCAAAGTGGGAACCCTTGAGCTCGAAGATAAGTTGTCGGAGCTTCCTTACCTGTCAGAAGCATACGTCGTTGCTGTTCCGGACATGGAGATCCTGCACAGGGTAGCTGTCATTGCCCGTCTCAAGCCCTCGTTCAAAGAAGAAGACGCCAACATCTTAGGCCCGGACGGAAAGCCTACATCAAACATGCTATTTAAAGTAAGGCGAGATCTTACAGAACTGAAGGTTGCGCAATACAAGCTGCCAACTCTTCTCCGCATTCTCAAAGATGACGATATTATTCCACGGACGACGACCGACAAGGTGATTCGAAAGAAAGTTATACAGACCTTCTTCCCTCAGTCTGCCGATTGCAAGGTAGAGGATCTGCCTAAGGAAGTGCTTGTTTGGGATTTGAAGAATGACAAAAATGCCGAGTCAACGGGGTTGTGGGACTGGGCCGCTGCCCAGGACTAAATCTGATGAGATATGCTCTCTGCCATGGCATATTCTACGTACAAACACCTGTCAAGGCTTAAGACATACCTCCTACGTCAACCTGTCATGAGAATTGGAAGCACGGTTATATAGCTATGAAAATTACTATATTTTCAAATTTGGAGACATACAGAACTATTTATGCATCCTGGTATGGCCTTCTTTTAATGCATTTTGCCGAAGTTAAGCATATTCTACTCCTTATCCCAATCCATATCGATTTCTATCTCACTCGCATCAACAGAGCCTTTATTCCCTCTAGCAGCGAGTTCCTTGTCAAGTGCCTGGAAGAGCCGATCTAGGTATATCTGCTCACCCGGAACAGTCAGCCCAATGTTAAGGCCGCTGAAAATCGATGCGTCAAAGCAAGCCCTTGCTATGCTAACAAGGGGTTCGTGTCCACAACAATACAAGTCTTTGAAGCGTTGTCTCCAAAATAGCCACCGAGGGAGGCTAAAACCAGGCTGCTTGATATTTGCTTTGACTGCAAGTTCTGCTGGGGCCATTAGAGAATCATTTAGATCAGCTGCCAAATCCGTAGCTGGATCATAGCCTGCCAACGATAGCTTTACAAGCTTATGACTGCTTTGTTTAAGCCATTCTAGACAGGCAGGTAGAAGCTCAACAATAGTATTTGAGCCATCTTCTGGTTTAGAAGGAAGCGAAACATCGTCTCTCGCCGTCTCTAGAGACTCCTTAAACAACCAAAGAGCACAACAGCTGAGTTGATCCGGGCAAACGCCAACGGCACACAGCTTAGCAGTTAGCACCGCTAGGCTTTGCCGTTCCTGAGATGAGAGCTTCATTGACTCTTCTGTCCAGGAAGCATAAATTTCCTGCACAAGGTATGGTAAATCGACCCACAGACGCTGTCCGTTGGGCATGGTAGCCACTTCGCACACCCTGGTGCCTGGCAGCGCATCTCTATCTTTCTGGTTGATAGGAAACGAGCCGAGTTCTCGAGCTTCGAGGATCAGAACGACAAGTCGGTCATGTTCTGGGCTATGGTCTGGAGTCACTTTTGCGACATGGATGAGTTCATCCCAAAGATCATGCAGCCGCCTCTCAGTTTCGGCGGCGGTACAGTGGTTGTCAATGTAACTTCTACCAATGCTGTATATATTGTTGCGAAGGCCCTCCCAGGTTTCTTGTGAATTGGCAGGGTCATGGCCAAATCTTTTGCGCTTTTCTTCCCGCGTAAGGCCTGGGATTACGCAGTTGCCTTCAGGACAGTCCATGCTTTAATGTGTATATGATTGAGAAGTTGAACTGTCGACCTGAGAGGCGGGAGGGAGAGATGGGTCATACAACGCTAGCAAGAGGGCCAGGCAGCAGCAATTGCGCTGAGGGTAGGGAGGCTGAAAGACGAAGCGGCTCTTCCAGCATTCGAAGGTCGCAGGCAGGGGGGAATAATAACCCGGCCAATACAGTCCACAAGTTCCCTGCTGCGCTGTTAATACCCAGGCCCAAGTCAACACCCCCTGCCCTGTCCCCTTGCTCCATGCGTCCAAAAAGCGCATCTTTTCTTTATTGTTATCATGTACGGCCTAGATGTAAACCTGGCCATTTTTGCAATAACATGTTGGCTCACAGGGCGTTCTGCCCCTCTTGACATCGTGACATTTTGTGCCGCTATCAATCATGTTTGCTGCAGGGGGAGCAATGCCAACATTGCCAATTATGATGCGCAAGGATGGAGAGGCGCCCAGCTTTACTCGGGACTCCCAGGTTGTTGTAACGTAATTACCACCGGAAGCAAGATATTAGGCTGACAGATTTCATCTCGTCCGCTCATATTGCTGCGGGATGTGGTCGACACCTTTAGAATAACTAAGCAAGCGATGTTAGAAATGCACTTTCAGACTTCATGCATGAACTCGTAGAATTGTACTGCGGATATGAAACCTCTCCTCCATCGCCCCCTGAATCCCCCTCAGCCTAGAGCCGTATCCAATGCCTGTCCCTGGCACATCTCATAATAATCACCCTTTTTGCCCAGCAGTTCGATATGAGCACCAGCCTCGGCAATTCTCCCTGCCTGAAAGACATAGATGGTATCAGCGCTTTGAATAGTGCTCAGCCTGTGGGCCACTGCAACTATACTCCTTTTACCCCCCTTGGCTGCCTCGTTTATAGCGTCCTGGACCATCTTTTCACTTTCTGTATCCAACGCACTTGTTGCTTCATCAAGAAGCAGAACTTTGGGATCTCGAACAAGAGCTCGAGCAATAGCAATACGCTGGCGTTGGCCACCAGAGAGTTTCGAGCCACGAATGCCGACTTCACTCCCAAGCCCGTCAGGTAAAGACAAGACGAATTCGTAGATATTTGCATCTTTACAGGCTTGTTCTATCTGTGCATCTGTTACCTCACTGGAATCAATCAAGCCCATGGCAATATTCTCCCTGATACTGCCCTGAAATAGTATAGGTTCTTGCTGAACAAGGGCTAGACGCCGACGATGGCCATGTAGGTCAATTTCATGGATTGCTTGGTTATTAAAGGTGATGAAGCCGGTGGTTGGATCATAGAAGCGGCAGAGGAGATTGATCATGGTTGACTTTCCACAGCCTGATGGGCCAACAAACGCAACAAATTTTCCTGGAGGAATTCTGATATTGATGTCAGAAATGACATTTTTTGAGCCCCCACGAGAAGGGTAGGCAAAGTTGACAGTTTGACAGTCAATAGCAACAGTCTCATTATTTTCGAAGGAGTCATTCGCAGGGGGTTCATTCGAAAAGTCGTTATCGATGGCAGGGACTCGCTGGCGTAGCCAAAAGATGTAGTTGGTAGAACTCGTTGCTTTTGTGATGCCGGTGGTGTATTGGAAAAGAGCTGCCGCATTCTCACCGCCAACCACAACCGCAGTGAAGACGACGAAGAATTGCTCGTTGGTATACTCATGTGTAGATACCAGTTTCCCGCCATACCAGAAGCCCAAGGCCATGGCTAGGAAGGTAATAGATTGAGTCAAGGCATACCAAAACATTGTAAAAGTCAGGGCTTTTACAGACTGATGCGCAACTACGTCGAGTCTTTCTTGGTATATTTGAAGAATCCTCTTCTCCAGAGTAAGGGATGATACTGTCCTTATAGCTAAGACTGCTTCCGTTGCAATTGCAGCGCTGCTGGCGAAGCGTGTAGAAGTATCTTCCTCCAGCTTGCTCTCAAGATGGATACGGAAGTAGCCGCTTAATAGCAGTAATGGTAGCGCAGCAAAGACACACACGAGGCCAAGTTTCCATCCATAAGCAATGCCCAAGATAGAAACTGAGATAATTGTGACGACGTTGATGAGAATTAAGCCCGAATTGATACCTAAGAGCTCATTCAAATTTGACGCATGAATCAATAACCTAGCACAGATTGAGCCAGTAGCATTATGCTCCAGATTGAAGAAAGAGATATCTTGCTTAAGGGTGTTTCTGAAGAGTTCTCTCCTATACCTCCGGCTAACTTCCTGTAAGGTTAAGGTTGTTTCAGTAGTTAATCCCAGTGCGCCAACTTTGGAGTATAGAAAAGGGAAACTCACCTGAATGATGATATTGGCTACCCATCCCACAAAGAAGTAAATGACGAAATTAGCAAGGGCTACAGCGAAGAACATCAGTGCCCAGAAGTTCCCACGGCGAACGGCTTCGCTGCCGCGGAGCTGAAAAACTTCAAGCGTCCGTGCAAGAATGACAGCTTGAGTTGGAAAAGTAGCACCTGCAACTGATCAGAATATGATGGTTACATTATTACCGTGTGGAAGAAACACTCACCCCCAAGAATACAGGCAAATGCAAAGATCGAGTATGAGCCCCAAAGATTCCGCTGCTCCTTTATCAGAAGCCATAGGCACTGGATTAGGTGGTATCCCATGGTTTCCTTTGCCTGTGCGTTGAAATTTGGTTCCAAGGTGTCAGAAGCTATGCTCCTTGCATGATGTGTTGTAAGATATGTGATTTGCTTCTCATCATCCCTCTCCTTCCTAGTTTCCTTTTCATCTAGGTTATATTTCCCTTCGTCCCAGTCATCCTGCTCATCTATGTCAGTAGCCAGATCATTCTCTGTCATCCCACGGCTTTTTTGTTCTAGGACCTGTGTACGGACAAGCCTTGCATAAGCACCATCGTTGGCCATGAGTCCGTGGTGAGTTCCTTGTTCAATGATTTTGCCAGCAGACATGACAGCGATATTGTCTGCCTTCTGTACCGTAGAGAGCTTATGCGCGATGATAATGGTAGTTCTGCCAATAGAAATGTTATCTAGAGCGCTTTGAACGATCCTCTCAGCCTTGGGATCAAGGGCACTCGTCGCTTCATCTAGCAGTAGAACCGAGGGGTGTGAAATGATGCTGCGCGCAATTGCTATACGTTGTTTTTGACCACCGGATAGCATGCGCGCTCGCTCGCCAACTTGTGTATCATATTTCTTAGGCAAGTGATCAATGAAGACGTCCGCATAAGCCTCTTTGCAGGCTTCTTTCACCAATGCAAGTTTCTGTTCATAAGGGGCGTCTTCATGCTGCGTTCCCACAAGGCCAAAGGCGACGTTATCGAAGATTGTGCCGCTGAAGAGAACTGGTTCCTGTTGTACAAGACGAATTTGGGTACGTAGCCATGCAATATTGAGTTCTTGTATCTTAATGCCATCAAGAAGGATGCTACCGGCGGTATGGTCGTACCAACGTTCCAAAAGTCCGATTATTGTGCTCTTCCCCGAGCCACTAGCACCAACCAGAGCTGTAGTCTTACCAGCAGGCACATTTAAGTCCACACCGTCAAGGACTTTGGTATCCGGGCGAGATGGGTAGGCAAACTCCAGGCCTTCCAGCTTGATCTCCCCAACACATTCCTCGGGTGCCAATCCTGAGGTTGAGAGAGAGTCAATAGCCGACTCCTTATCGATAATGCGAAATAGTTCTTCGGCAGCGGCAGCGGCTTTGGTGATTGTGATGATTTGGGGGGCAATATGGGTCAGAGATGTGGCCGCAACAACAACAGCGAATATCACACTGTGGAGAGGATTAGCAAAGAAAAAGCCATAGAGCATTTTATAGAGATTAACCATACGTTACGACGTCGCCAGACTCTTGGATATCACCACGAGCAAACATCTTGATGCCCTGCCAGAAAGCAAGACCGTAGCCCGAATAAACGCAGAAGAATTCAGTAGAAAATAAAGCACCATAATTTGGTGATTTCTTCCTGCCCACACTTTCCAATTCAGCAAGAAACTCTTCGTAGCGCTGTGCCATCAATGGCTGTAACCAGAAGGCATGGACGGTTGATATAGACGAGAAGGTTTCCTCTGCGACTAGACTAGAGCGCGAAAGGATAGCCATCAACTTATCCTCACTCTTGACCTCGATGCTCATGCAAACCCCAGTGATAATAAGGATAGCTGGAACAATGCAGATGGTGATAAGTGTCAGCTTCCACTGCACTCCAAACGCAACGGCAAAAGCTGCTACAAAAGTGGCGCAGCTTTGAATAAACACTGATAACTTCTCCGAAATGCCGTTAGTTATGATATTACCATTCATAGTAACCTTGACGGATGGCGACCCGTCTTTGTTTGAATCGAAATAGCTGGTATCCTGGCGTAGGAGGCTTTGCATAAACTCCAATCGCAACGCCTTGGTAGTCCGAATGGCCGCTACTGAGGCGGCAAGAGTGTGGATGTAGACCAGAAAGAACTTGGCGAGAAATAGATAAACCAGATAAAGGCTGTAACTCCTGTTAGGCCACTTTGATGTCCGTGTTGCAATTAAGCTGTTGTTGATGAACCTACGAGTATTTTGACACCTCCTGTATATAGCTTTCGGAGCTGATGGAGCCGTTAGCAAAGTTGTTGAAGGTCGTTACGAACTTGCCAAAGATCAGGTCCATTAATGGAAGCGCTGAACCGCCTATAATAGCGGCAAGGAAGGATATAGAGTAAAGTAACCAGGCCTTTCGGTCAGCATAGCGGAAGATGCGTCTGTAGCTCTTGAAGCCAGAGGGCTTGGCCCCTTGATCAATCTCGTTGGCCGGCATGGTGAATGAGAAGGAGAGCCTGGCTGGCCAAAGTTATTCACTAGCCCAGGTTCGGCAGGAAGAGTGACAGTGAAACGGCAGTGAAGGTTGGTATTCCAGAGACTCCTTGGTCAACGAGGCACCGCCCAACTGGCTAGTTATATAACATCCTGGGGGTCCTCTGATGGTTGCTCCGACTCCGAGTTGCAAGTGCCAGAGAAGCCGCTTCGCCCAATGATAGACAGATGCTACCCCGGCAGTGCTGCTGGGCACCATGCGAGGTAATATCAAGCTGCCTGGCATCGCGCATAGAGGCTGCATTTGGAGTTCGAAAGACGGGATATCTCCAAGAGTTGGCGACAGGGTCATCCACGCCGGGGTGACGGGTTCAGCCATAACTACTAGTTAGCCGGTTGACTGATAGCACGCCGGTTCGAAGATAACCTTGGGCCTGGTCATAACCATTCAGTTAGCAGTGCTCCGTCAACTAAGCAGTATCGATAGACGAGGTAGTTAGATGCTGGCGAAAAGTCGAAGAGCCGGATGCTCATCACAACTTGTGAACTAAGTTAACTAACTGGGGCCTCGGCCATGGAACAACGATTTCTCTAGCTTACTACTACGGCTACTGTCAAGATGATCCCAGTCCCAGAAATACTCAACTGGATGGGCACAATTTCGGTCATACTGTTAGCCCTTTACAAAATATCCAAACATACGTACAAGTGAGGAAATGTCACTATTATATAAAGAGTTAATACTTACTATTTTATTATAGACAATGTTATGGCACGAAGTTATCAATGGAGAGGGAAGACGGCACATCTTGTGAATTTACAATGGGAAGAAGGTAAATAATTCAAGTTATAAACGACTATAAGATCTAGGCTAATTTATATAGTTAAGGAGGAGAGCACAAGAAGATGTAGAAATGGGGCCATCCCCAGTTCAAGCCACAGCAACTGAAACTCCAGCCCCGACTGCAGCTCATAAAAATGAGTTTTGAGCCTATGGTACGAATAGCCTGCCATAGTAACTACCTGGCCCGTAGGTAGGTCCCATCATTCCATCATCTACGCGATGGGTCTATGGATCGCAAGCTATGCTGACAACACCTCAGCAGGACAGCTAAAATGACAGGGTGCTTTTTGATGCAATAAATATATGCCAACGTATCCTCCCAAGACAGAAAAATACCACAAGAGGGTGATTGGGATCCCAGCTCTTTCAACCTAGAACTCGCTGGTGAGCCGTGTGGCCAGATGAACTTCCCTACGACAGGTTCATCAGCTTGTCGAGCTAGCCCTGAGTACCTTCAACCAGTCCTGGCCTCCAACGCAATACCAGATCTACTAGAGGATTAAGGAACTTCAAGATGCTAAAGTTCTGAACCTGTTCAAATCACAACTAGGGAGGGAGAACTACGCTGATCATACGAGAAGGAACATCCCGGATCAAATATACCAATGTGAATAAACTAAGGAGGCTGGTAGTAGATAAGATTAAGGATGTGTCAATTATGCCACGGGCTCCAGTGCCAGCCCTGCAGGTCCCGTCGGGTGCAGGTGGAATAGTCAATGATCCGGCTAACTAGTTATACTAGGTACCTGTTATCTCTAGTTATGGAAGTTGGTTATGCTATCCGCCAGTCATCTTTGGAGTCAGGCTGCTACGATGTCTAGAGCTGCATTTCCCCCAGTTTTATTACATCTTTCTATCATAAGGCATATTGGACGCACCTTGCGTCCAGTACTCTTTGCTCGAAAACTTACATGCCCTACTACCTACCCAGTACCCATTCATACGGATACGCAACAAACCCTGACAGATGTCCCTGAGCACAAAACAGCAAAAATGACATCTGTAGGAACTAGAATTGTCGGCAAATCTGGCAATCAATACGTTATTGAGCGGCTTCTGCAGGAAAAAATCCCCCCAGACATTCGCGTTTACCTGGCAAAGTTTGTCATCCCTCTACCGTGGGCATCTCTCAATATGTTTAACTAGGTACTGGTAATATTAGCAATGGAACGGAGAAGTTCATACTAAAAAATGTCCACGATTTCGATTACTACCACGATATCTACCGTCGCATCTCTAGCTCTCCTTGTCTCCGCTTGTTGCATGATACTGTGCCAGACCAGTCAATATTCGTCTACGAATACCTTACCGACCATCTTCTCAATATGGCGAAAAAAGATATACCTATCGTGGCCACAAAGCGAATCCTTAGAGATGCTTTATGTGGACTCAAAGGGCTACATGATCAGAATATCGTCCATACAGGTAGGGGTTTTGATAATATATTTTTGTTACCTTCCGACTTGGAACCCATTACTCATATTAGTGCTATAGACATCAAAGCAAACAACATCCTGATTGACTGGAAAGAAAAGAATGGGGAACTAGCCATCGGGCGGGTACAACTGGCTGATATCGAGGATAGCGCAATTATACCCCCTAATTGTGATATCCTCGGGAAGGCTGTAGGAAACTGAATGTGGCGCAGCCCAGAAGCCCATGTAGAGGCCCGTGTGAATAAGCCCTCCGACATATTCTGCTTTGGAATTGTGGTGAGTAATCTCATTATCCCTATCTATCTAAAGTCGTTGGTATAATTAAGGTCGCTAATAGATATAAAAAAGTGCATCTGTGCAGACTTAAAGCATGTTATCTTAGCTGTAGATGCAAAGGAACTTCCTGAAGGTGTGGACGTTCAAGCGATTGTTCTCCAGCGTCAGCTCTCATATTTCGGGAACGATGACTCCATCGCCGCATTCTTAAAGCACATCGGTGATGAAAGTCCTTGGTGCACTGTTATAAATGTACTTTGGGATGGATTCGACGAGACTGCTCCTCGTGAACCATTTGCGTTGTGGAAGGGTGTGGACCTGGTCTTCAAAGATTTAATTGCCGGTTTAACAGACATTGATCCCAAAAAGAGGCTCACTGCTCAAGAGGCCTTAAATCATTCATGGTTCCAGGGGGATAAGGACTAATTTCAAGGGTGTTTGTACCTTGTCGGTTTATCTGATTGCAGCTCCCTATGAGCTAATTGGGAAGGGCCACATTTTCTTGATTTCATCGATGGTTTTATTTTCGGCCAGCATTTTTTTCGCGAACATCTGGTATAACTCTTCATGTTGCGTTTTCTTTTCATTCCAGTCAAATGCAGGAGATATCCAGCCCTCTGAATCAGTGTCTAACGCTCTTTTAACCAGAACTTGAAGGTCATTCCATTCCTCGTATTTTGCAAGTTCTTCCTCATACTGTGAAAGCTCAACTTCAGTAAAATGTATGGGGCAAGGCTCCATAAATCTTAGATCCGACCAGTATTTATATAACTCAGCTAAGCAGGAGCGAAGCGGAAAAATCCCATCAACAGATGTCTCTCCGCAGCGTATATATATTTCCTTCAGTGCCGATGGGACCAGTAACGCAGTATGCAAATGGGTATTGAAGGCACCTGTACACACCTCATAGGCCTTCGCGAGGTAATTCTGCTCATAAGTGACTTTGGCCACTGCTCTATCCGCAGCATCCATGCCTTCAAGCCTAGATAGCGGCTCAGGTTTTTCTGTCAAGCCAGGGGTGTAACCGTCTAAAGGTTCAAGGAATACTGGCCACCGCGCTTGTAAAAACTTCGGCGCAATCGAAATTGAATGCCAGTCAATAATACCAGTGATGCTTATGGTATCCTTACCTTCCTCTGTGGTAAATATATTCCCCATGTGTAAATCTGGGTGTAAAAGCACAGGCGTTGAGGTCTTTACCAAATTTTGGTGGCTTGAGACTTTCGGTAGGATATTTATCGCGGATTCCAGTACCGACTTATGGGAAGATGGAGTACCATAACTTGGCGGCTGACCTCCTGCAGCCCTCACGGTAGGAAATCCTTTACATAAACTGCGTTTGGCAAGGGACTCCCCAAACTCTTGCAGATTCATCCCTAACAAGAAATTAGTTAAAGGCGTTAGCCGGTTGAATATTTCAAGACGTACAAGGTCCTGAGCCGCATTGTGGAGTTCTGCCTCCATCAGCCCACTGGAGGCTGGCTGCTGGCCCGATGCAGTATTGACTAGATGGATCAAACTCCTTGTCTAGGGGCACATGCGGCAGGTTTGGGATCGAGCGTCGAAAGTAAAGATTCCCATAGGCCGGAAACTGAAGAGATAATAGTTGTTGTTCTATCAGAACGAGATTTTTTATTATATCTAGACGACGAGATTCAGAGAGGCCTCCCCAGACTTTCGTCAATTGAACGCCCTTCGCCTTCTCCAATATAATATACTCAGCCCCAACTAGGTTTTTGGAATCTGAGCTCCAGGCTAAAACTTTGGGGACTGGAATTGTTGTATGTGTCCGGACTACTAAATTTAGATAAATCCTCTCACGAAAGAGTGTGATATTGCTCACCGAACTCTAGTACAGCAGCTTCAGATGCAGTTGAAAGCATCGGAAGACCAGCATTTGGACAGGAAATTTTGGCAACAACTTCAGCCCCATTCTCAAGGGTCATTAAAAGCGCTTTGTGGAATCCTCCTTCCATTTTTTCTATTTTTGTAACCTTAGAAACCGTCGAATCGCTTTTAGTAACGACTGATGTGACAAGGTTGCACAATTCGTTAATATTAAATCGTACATAGCGTCTCGCGTACTGGTACTCTTCATCGACAAGGAAATGTCCATTATTGTACTGGAAAACTTCTTCATGACTAATAGGTTTTCCTATTGAGGTCAGGGCGTGTAAGCATCGACCGTCAGACTGCATTACACACCTCGACATGAAATGTGGACACGCCTCTGGAACAGAGAGGAGAGAGATCTCCTTGGCAGTCTTGGGAGCAGCCTTGGTATCATCCTGATAATAGTCCCGAGTTAAAAGGGCAGAGTTTTGAAGCAGGCCTTCAACTTTTAACACTGAGTGATTCGCGTTCCCAACCCAAATTGACGTCGACCAAGTTGATTAATTTCATGATACAATAATGTTATACAATTGATAAAACCTCTGCAGGATATGGTAAAATGGACACATCTACCGGTTTGAACTGGGTGATGCCGTGAATGAATCTTCCTAGCTATGACAGAAGAACTTGGGAGAATCCCAAAAATGTTTGATGTTGACAACGCGCCTATGGAAAAACCTTGGCGGCAACAGGCTCAAACTTTAGCGGCAAGCAGCCGCGCTTAAGCTAAGGGGTAGACTTAAGGGAGAGCCAGCTTAGAGAGAGAAGCCAGGCTGTGGGCTAAAGAAGAAGGAAGAGTGTGCTCTTAAGGAAAAGGCTAAGGTGTGTAAAGTATTTATCCATGTAAGAAGGTGCTATTTAAAATATCTCTACTATTATTGGCTGCGTGGAACTCTCCCTTACAACCAAGAGCAAATATTGGCCCGATGGCACAAATAGTCCACCATACGTATGTCCACTTTCTAGCCGACGCAATTCAATTAACGACGGACTAGAAACCACATGCAAGGAGATAAATGGATGGTACTTACATATACATACCAGGTAGTGTAGCTGTCCTATTCCTCATGCATTATTCAAATCGTGGTATAGTAATGCTCTCGTTTCCATTATCGTACAAATATGTTACAGGAGATTCGCTATTCTAGATTCATTTATTTCCCCGAATAACTTCCAGTCCACCCATCCATGGCCTCAGCGCCTCAGGGACAACGACGCCACCTAGGGTTTCATCCCATCCGTGCTCTAGTATTGCTGCCAGTACTCTCGGGACGGCCATAGCGGTTCCGTTGACGGTATGCGGGAACCTTGACACTCCTGAACTGTCACGCACCCTTGTTCCTAACCGTCTGCTCTGGTAGTCCGTACATATGGAAGTCGAAGTGACTTCGCCCCAGCCACTGTAACCAGGGTCCAGCACAGATGAATTGTCTGATTTGTTTGGTATTCTGGATGGGAATAGGACTTCAATATCTCTTTTTCGAGTTGCACTCGCGCCAAGGTCTGAAGACGACATTTCTAATACTCGGCATGGCAGGTTGAGGGAAGAGAGAATATCCGTTTGGATAGAGAGCATTTCTTCAAAGAGAGTGGTCGACGTTATTCCATTGGTATTCGCATCCGTACTGTCCTGCTCAACGTTGTCTGTCCAGCCAAATAACTCGACCTTAGTAAATTCGTGCACACGGTACAGTCCCTTGGTATCGACTCCTCTTGCGCCAGCCTCAGCTCGATAGCATCTACTTGCTCCCACAAACTTTAGAGGAAGCTGCTCAGCTCGAATTTCCTGGCCCGCGTACATAGCAGCAAGTGGTATCTCGGCAGTTCCTGTCAGACTGCGCTGTGGTTTATGTGCAGCTTTGTCTCTCTCTGTCTGCTGAATAGACCAAATTTGCTGTTCGTTGTTCGCATCTCGGGGCTGGAAGCCGCAAGCTTCCGCAATATGAGAGTATACAATACTCGGCGGAGAGACCGGTTTCCAGCCCTTCTTACGAGCTGTGGTTAGGGCATACTGGACAAGAGCATGTTCGAGGAGACAGCCTTCGTTGGTGAGGAAGTACCATCCCCAGCCAGTTGATGTTGCTGAGCTTGTGAAATCCAATAGCCCCAGTTCAGTGCCAATTGAGACGTGGGATCGTGGGATAGCAGCCGTCGATGAAGTCGGCGATGCATACGAGGGAGGGGATTCGGGGTCGAAATTGATGTATGTGACGATGCGAGGAATGTCTCCAATTGGGGTGTCCTTCGACGTAAGATTTGGTAACGACAATGCCAACTGCTGTATTTCCTCCATACACTCTTCTCTCCGATCCATCATCTGTTGCGAGGCATCCTTGAGCTCCTTTGCTTCTTGTCGAAGCGCATCCAGGGTTCCATTTTGTTCCGGCCCCAGTTGCTGGCGCGCAGCAATAGTAGCGAGCTTGCCTATCTCTTTTTCAACCTGCTTTATTCGAGCTCGAGGATGCTTCAAGGCATGCTGCAAATCCGAGGCTTCTTTGGCTAGAGACTGTATTCTCGGCGGATAGTCTGCGACTGGCTTATAATTGCGATCGAAGCAGTTCTTCGAGTATAATTCTGCATTTTCGCGGATGTGGCGGACGTTTGGGACTGGTTTCGGAGCTGTTGGCGGTCGAGACGACGCTGTGCTGATAACGCGACGAGGGAAGGCGACATTCCGCGTAGGAGGTCTGAGTGATAACCTGCAATTGAGGCATATGTATAGCGAGGAGGGCCTCATCGGGATCGGCTGCGGTGACAGTTCCTGTCATTCGAGGTTTCTTTGGTGGTAGAAAGTTGGATGTTTTTCTAGAGTCGAACTTTTGAAGTTGGAAATGCGCCTAGTAAGTTTGAGAAGTAGGAGGATAACACTGGATGGTATATCTACACGCAAAAATTACTTCTACACAAGGTAACTGATATTAATTAATATTATATATATGCATAAGTAAAGTATTCATTTATTGTCTCTCGGGTGCTAATAAAGCTAACGAGAGAAGAGCTATGTGTTGAAATAGACAGTAAGAATAGGAGGTATACACAAACACCGAAACGGATGGCTGGACGAACGGGAGAAGAGCATCAATCATAGAGTAATACCGAGAGGATATACCAGAAAGGACGGCAGAGAGGACAGCAGAGAGAAGAGCAGAGCGAGCTGCTTATATGCTCGGTGCAGAAGTCGATCCTCGTAAGAAAGCCGGCAGCTTGTACCTCTTGACTCTCGCCACGACACCGGCAAAGGTGAGAAACGCTGAAATGGTGACCGGCCAGAATCCAATATGCAGGGTCTTGACGTTATAATCCGTCTTGGTAGCAGCTATAACTACTGCCAATTCCAGGACAAAGAGCACGTATCCGCTCACACGGTGCCATTTGTAAATCTTCTTTCCGTTCTCAACGCTGCCAAAGATGGTCTCTGGGAAGAAGTACTGCGCAACACCGACGGCCGACTGCAGGAAGATGATGATGTAGGTTATCAGGCCGAGGACTCCATGGACGGAGGAGAAACGGGTTTCCGGGTGGCTCTGCTTGTTGATCTCGATGATGATGAGGGCCGAGATGAAGGCCAGGTTTGCGACAGCGAGGAATCCAAAGTGCGTGAGAGCACCGGTTTGCTTCTGCTGGGGGGTCCTGGTTGGCTGTACGACGAGGATTGCCTGCACGGTGAGCAGGATTCCGACGGAGTTGAGGAGCTGTCATCGCGGTCAGTACTCCCTATATAGGCCGTGTTATATGATAATGGATGGCGACGGCCAGCTTACCGGGTGCGGCGAGAAGAAGATGAGGTCGTGAGTGAAGATCCCGGACCAGACGAGGGCGACATTCTGGTCAGTCTGTTGTCAGTCTTCTTGTAACTATATACACACACACACACACACACACGGCCAGCCGGATGTAACTAGATGGCGACGCGACTTACGATCAGAATCCCAACCTGCGCCAGGCTCGCAGTCCCTAGAAGCGCAGAGTCAGCGTCCCATCCACCACCGGCCGTCGATCCCCGTCCACCGCTGCCCGCAGACCTACCGGTAATCAGGTTGGTGAAGATGCTCTGGTCCTCACGCTGGGTCACTGTGCCCGGCTCCCCGAGCAGCGGCTCGTTCTCGACGCCGCCTGGCAGGGCGGACGCCCGCTCTTCCGGAATGCCAGTTGCAGAGGCCATCGCAGCGTTATCTCGGTCTAATTGGCCTGTATGCCCGCTGTTTCCTGGTGTTGGCAAGCTGGAGAGGAGGAGGAGGACCGGACAAGCAGCATCGCAAGCATTATTGCATCATTCCTTGCGCCGTTTCACAGTTTTTGGTCCGTCTTGTCATCATCCCTGGAGCAGCCAGTTAGCGTTCGCCGTATTCAAATCCAGCACTGGCAGGCAAGCTCACTCCAACCAGCTACTAACTAACAGGTAACTAACAGGTAACTAACTAGCTAGCTAGCTAACTGCTGGCTGGCTGCTGGCTGGCTGCTGACCGAGTGAAGAGGCGAGTCACTGCAAGCCGCTGTCTGGTAGTGACGGCTCAGGGGCTGTCACTCCCTCGCATTAACTAGCTAGCCAGATATTCACCCGGCAGCTCGAGGTATAAGTATCTGTCCCTCAGGCCATCCCTCTCGCTTTTTCTTCTCCTTCAGATACTCCGTAGATGAGCACCAGTTCAAGCAGACAGCTCATATATAGCTGTTAACCCTTCAAGTCCCGCTTTATCATGCCCCCAATACCGGCCACAGAGCCACAGCCTCCAACGGCATAAGCCCATCGAAGCAGGCAAGGATTATAGAGCAACCGGAGTCTACTTAACTACTGGAATACCTGGAAAATGCCCATATACCCGTCTCTTTTTCATGATGGAACTGCTACTTGAACCAGCACATCGAGGATGGACGGATTCTTTACGTGACGCATATATTGACTACGACTATAACTAACTACCAAAAGAGAACCCGATAAAACACAGACTTCAGAGTTTACTCCATTGTGGGAACATGGAGATGGACTATGCACATCATTCTCAATATTTGTTGCAGACAGCTTTCAGGGAAATCTTTCGTTTCAGGATCTCCAGCCATTTCATCGGGCAGCACGAAATTCAGATGGCATAACCGTTGATTCCATGACCTGGAAAACTCCTATCTAGAGGTGAAGGAGGTGAGGAAATTTATAGATTGAAGAGAGCATGGTCATTTATGACATCCACAGCTCTGGTTCTCAGCCTTAGAAGAAGAATCAAACCGCTGGGTCGAAAAGGGGAAGCCCCTAAATGGCTGCAGAAAGAGTCGGTGTATATTCTTATATAGAATCCCTATCCATTACACTGGGGAGATCACCTCAACCATGGTGTCACCGTGGTCCATGCTATCAGCAAGCAGTGATCATGTAACTAAAAAGGGGCAATCCCATATTAGATAGAATCAATCTTCCTTCACCTTTCTACCAAAGATAGCCACAAGAGTGTATATCCCCTAGGAGGTCCTTATAATAACCCTAATCATTCATCCCCCTAGGCTTAGCCAGATAGCACAAGTATGCATCAAGTGATATATTTTAACATGGCCTCGAGAAAGTTGGGGCTGGAGTCCCCATGCCGTTGAAGGTGGCGGTAGCTTCAACCCAGTCGTATAAGAATAACTACCTGTGGCTAGACAGGTGGATAACTGCTTAGTTACGGCGGCATCCGAGCAACTGGGCATTAATTAGCAGATCTCGCGGGGGTTGCCGTCTTGTCTTGCCCTCGGTATAGCAAGTTCAAGTAAGTATAAGAGGGAGAAGACTGTCCCTGTTCAAGGTAAGTAGCAACACCAACGAGCAAGCTGTATATATACTTACTCTCCCTGTATAATCGACCATGGCCACCAGCGTTCCCCGTGAGGAGATAGACAAGTGCTTCTCCAAGACGACCAATCTAGCATCCTCTGCCCTGAACTCGACTGTGCTGGCCTGTAGCGACGAGTACTTCGCCGCCGCATCGAACCTGCTCACCCCCGGTGCCCCTATCCACAAGCCAGGAGTCTTCGTCCACACAGGGGCCTGGTACGACGGATGGGAGACCAGACGCCATAACCCCGCCGAGTACGACTGGGCACTCATCAAGCTCGGGGTAGGCAGTGGGATCATCGAGGGAATCGAGATCGATACCGCTTACTTCGTCGGCAACTACGGCGAGCATGTCCTCGTCGAGGCAGCGTATCTGCCCGCTGCCGACCCTGCATCGGCCGCAAGCGAGCAAGAGATGATCAGTGACAGCTTCTCCAGGTGGGAGACCATCCTGCCACAGCAGCCATGCGGCCCCTCGATGCGTCAGGCCTGGAAGCTGCCCAAGCCAACCGGCCCGTTGACGCATATCAGAGTGCGCATGTATCCCGACGGCGGGTTCTCCAGGCTCAGACTCTACGGCCACGCCTTGCCGCCGTCTCTAGCATCGGCTCAGGGCCAGGCTCGCCCCGTGGAAGAGCTCTCCTCGGCGCTGATGGGTGGACTGGCTCTGGCTGCGAGCAACCAGCACTTTACGCCGGCATCTAACCTCCTGCTGCCCGGGCGAGGGAAGGACATGGGCGATGGGTGGGAGACTGCACGCTCCCGCCAACGAGGCCATGTCGACTGGGTCATCGTGAAGTTGGGCCTGCCTGGATCAGCCGTCAAGGTGGTCGTTGATACCAAGGACTTCAGGGGGAACTTCCCGCGGGCAGTGCGTGTCGAGACGATTGACTGGAAGGGCGAGGGAGACAGTGAGCCGCCGTTCGACCATGACGCCTGGACTGAGCTGGTCAAGGGCGAGCAGCCGTGTAGAGCTGATACGGAGCACGTATTCGAGGGAGACGCCCTGGTAGCCGGCCAGCATGCAACTCACGCAAAGCTCACTATGATCCCAGACGGGGGAGTCAAGAGATTCCGCATCTTTGGCCATAGATCATCGTCTACATAAGGAGGGAGAACTGCCATATTCATACAATATATTTATTTATTCAGGCATATAAACACAGACTATAACTAATGAAGAACGACATTCATGAGAGAAAACAGAGAAAGTAGAGTGTACAGCATGACAGAACCCAGATATTTTTTTTTTTTTTCCTTTTCTCTTCTTTTTTCGTTTTTTTGATCACCATGTTTGCGGACAAATCCCAATTGAGCCAGCCAGCACTCCCAAGCCAAGCGTAGTCTTTTCCAACCAGCATGAGAAAGAAATAAAAAGAAAGCCATTACCTGTTCTTGATCATAAGTGAAGAGTAAAGAAAACCGTCTCAAATGTTCCCGTTCCCATATATACATGTTCGCATTGCTGTGAGAAAGTAGGTAAAAGAGGAATGGTCCTCTGCCACATATCCCAAAATGGAAAAAAAAAGGTATTAAATGTCGTTATTATCTGATAAACAAATGAATATGGAGAAGCAATATAGGCGTGAGAGAGGCCGTACTGCTTATAATTAAAAAACTTTGTAAAGTGGTGGTAAACCCAGGGCAGATTGTTGTCGTTGATGGAGCGTTGAAGAGTCGAGCTAGTAGGTATCAGCGTTCAAGGTCGGCGTCTTGTCGACAGAGGGATCATTGCCCGGGGGGGTTGGCGTGCCATCGTCATCGTTAAGTTCTTCCACTCTCGACTCCTCCACAGGTTGGCTCTTTTCCCCAGTGTTTTCCTCGGTGTTTCCCTCGGTGCTTCCCTCGGTGTATTCCTCAGGCATAGAATCACCATTTGGAGTATCTTCGCGCCTTTTGGTTGCTGCAGCAGTCGCAGCGTCTATTGCAGCCTTAGTCCGTTTCTCTTCAGCAATGAGTTCATCTATTGATGGAGCAGGCTGCGGGGGTTTAGGCGGAGTAGTAGCCTGTAATTCTATCAAACGAGAGGCAGCGGCCGATGACTTTGACCTCTTCGGCAGTGCCTTCGTCTGTGGTGCCAGGTACCGGTCCAGCATACCCTTTAACACATCAGATCGCACAGGCTTGGCTAAGTAATTGTTCATGCCGGCGTCAATGCACTTTTCACGGTCTCCCTCAATGGCACTCGCTGTCATGGCAATGACCAGAACCTCGTTGACATTTGGGTCCGGATCTTCGCGGATCCTGCGTGTGGCATCGCACCCGTCGAGCACTGGCATTTGGACATCCATCAAAACAACATGGAAGGGCTTGCCATCCCTAGACCTCTGTCGAAGGGCCTCAACAGCTTGTTCACCATCACTATACACCTCACTCGACAATCCAAGGTGGTGGACGAAGCTCACGGCTATCTTTTGGTTAATTGGATTGTCTTCGGCAATGCAAATCCTGACATCGTCGCGGGGTATATGGGAAATATCCCGTAATCTGTGGGCATGTGGCTGCTTATGTCCCGGCTCCTGTGTCCATGGGGTCTTTGGAACTGCATCCTTGCCAGCCTTTTTGAAGACGAGCGTGAAGGTCACTGTAGTTCCTTCACCTTCCTTGGACTGTAACCATATTCGTCCACCAAGAACGTCCTCAATGATGGCCTTGCAAATACTTAGTCCCAACCCACTACCACCATAAGATCTTGCAGTAGAGCTGTCGGCCTGCGAGAACGGTCTGAACAAGCGAACTAGTTGCTCCTCCGAAATACCAATTCCAGTGTCGGCAACTTTGCATGTTACCCGTATTTTCTCTGGAGTATCTTCTTCGACAATTGCTCGAACTGTCACCGACCCTGCTGGTGTGAACTTGTAGCTATTACTCAACAAGTTCATAAATATCTGGTGCAAACGAACGGGATCTCCCATGACAAGAAGGTCGGGATCGATGCTATCAAGGTCTTCAATTGTGTTCAGCCCCTTCTCTCGATGAGTATATCGAAGGGCCCGAACGACTTCAGCAATTGTCTGGCGAAGGTTTATCGGGACAATGGAAACCTTCATCTTTCCAGCCTCAAGTTTAGAAAAGTCCAAGATATCGTTAATCAATGTAAGCAGAGTGTCGGCGCAAACACGGATTGATTCAACGTAAACATCTTGCTTAGGATCCAGCTTAGTAGCTTTAAGCAATTCCGATAATCCAATGACTCCAGTCATAGGTGTGCGTAAATCGTGTGAGATGTTTGCAAGGAAAATTGACTTCGCCTTTGCCGCATCTTCCTTGAGCTTAACGTTATGGTTGGCCTCAACTTCGGCAATTTTAGCTTTATGCTCTGCTTCCCGAGCTTGGACTAAGGCACGCTTTTGGGCTTCAACCATGGCAGCATTAGCAGCACTAGAGCAGAAGTTAGTTCGTGTATTTCCGTGGAAAGACATTAATACGATAAAACTTACCTCACTTTCCGCACCTCTTGGAAAAGGAAGGCATTTGCAAGCGAGATACCCATTTGGTTGCAAACAAGGCGCAACAGTACCAGATTGCGTTGAGTAAAGGAATTCGGTTTTCCTTCGATGTGTACCACTCCAAGGAACTTCTTTGCCTGAATAATTGGCAGAACAATTATTGACCGACCGTGGGGATGACGGGATGCGTAGGATTCGCTGAGATTTGTAAATCGGTCGTCTTCCAAGACGTTGTGCACCAAGACTGCCTCTCTGGTACGAAGGGTATAGTTGCTGATTTGCTGGGCCATTTTATCTTCCACTTCAGAGAAAGGCAGACCGTTGTCATATGCAATAGGGTCGCTTTCGTTGTCTCCAGAGGCAGCAACACACCAACCCTGGGATTCGAATTCGGTGATCACAAGGGCAAGTTCCGAGCCGCTGCATGATTCCAATATAATGCCGACCATCTTCGTTAATAACTTGTTGACCTCGAGTTCTGATGACATGATATGGCTGAATTCGATAATGGTAGACAGGTCGATTATATCCAGACCAACGCCGGTTATGTCAGAAGGGCCATCGTTCCCTTGGTTTTGCTCCAGCCATTTCTGGTTATGGCCGCTCTCAAGAGAACTAAGGCCGCGGTTTTCAGACGTAGACTCAGTAACGTTGGACTTTTGAACTCCAAGAAGTGAATCGATCGTTTGGCAGCCAACGTCGTTTGTCCTTGACACTGTGCCGATCCTCATCAGCCATTCGAATTTCTCAGTTAGCTGTCGTGCCTTTCTAGACGCTCCAATTCTATTCCACACAGAAATAGCGGGCTGCAGCATCATTTGCGCTGCACGTTTAGCCCCACGTCGAACAAGGAAATCAACTGCACAAGAAATGGTTAGCAATGAGATTTTTTATATGGTTGTACAGCATCATGCAACGGGATTATCCTTACCCTGAAGTTCGTAAGCGAGGGCCTCTTCAATTGGCCAGTTGTGGATTTGAGCATGATCCAACGCTTCCTGTGATTCCAAGTGGTTAGATTTGAATAATGCCGCTTAAAGGGGTAAGCTCGACACTTACCTCAAATGCTACCAATGCACCTTGGAAGTCTCTCTTCAGTTCAGACAGTAGCGCTTTAACTAGTAACGACCACATTCCATAATTTGCATCACAGGCGTCCCGCATATAATCAATTTCTTCCTTGTATCGTTCAACCGTCTTAAGGTTTTCCTCTAAATCAGGTCTCAAAGGGTCTTCGAAATGCAGGGATAAAGTAGCCAACGAGAGATAAAAGTAAACCTGAGTGGCCAGTCTTGACGAAAAGATACCACGCAACTGACCGACCATCTCGGTACCCATTTCCACTATCCTTGAGTAGTGGCCAAACACATACAGTGGAATGAGAATGATACTGCGGTATGTAACTAGAACATGGGGTTTGCCGGGAAAACGCTCCAAAACTTCCGCCTGCAATCTTTGATCGTCATGATATGCATCAGATAGAGCAAGTTCTGGTGAACTGGCCAGTGTTTTCCCTTGAAGTGCGCGTGCAGCTTGTCTGTTAAAGAATTAATATATGTACTGCGCCATAACTTAAGGATAGGTGGGGAATATTGCGCTTACCGAGTCGCTACAATACCGAGCCCTCCACGAATATCATGAACCCAGTCATCGATCCCTTCAGTCGCATCATTGCAAAGGTCTTCTATCTCCCCTAAGTCGTGGCCGAGAACAAGCCGAGTGATAACCATCGAGGATACATTGAGAAGGATGTAGTAACGGTCACCAAGGAAGAATGCAGCCTCTGTTGAAGTTTCCAGTAGGGGTAGAATCGCAGAAACTGGGTCCCGCATATGGTTGATGAAGAAATTATGAATGGTAGTGCCACGCGCGATCGCTGCTGGGTCACTAGTAATGCGCAGAATCGACAATGCAGCGTCACTAAGCTTCAAGCCGAGTTCAATATCCTTAAATCGGCTCAATGCAATTGTCGATAACTGGCTATACAAGTATACTACCTGCGCCATCGCCCCATACTCAAGATGCAGCCGCATCATTTCGACTGTAAGATGGAAGTACATCATAGGGTCAAGCCAGAGGCAAATGGATATGGCTTCGTTCAACACTGAGCCGGCTGCGATTAAGGCTCGGTCATTGCTGAGAGGTCGCGTTAACAGGGTATCGAAGTCAATCGTTTGAAGATACTTTGCAATTTTTCTGTATGCCTCGTCGCTTTCTTCCCACGTTGCTACGCGGTTGATTTTCACGCCGAGCTCCTCCAAGCAGGTGAATAGGTCACCAAGGGCAGAACATACGTCCCCTGAAACGGAATGAACTCGACTTCGCAACGTCCAAGCTCTGGCCTTGCAGGGTGCTGTGCGTGCATTTTCAAAAACAGGCTTAAGAGCATTTAACGTTTCCTCTGTTTGACCCAAGGCAAGGTGCATTTCTGCGACTTGAATGTAAAGCTCCCTAGTCTCGTCGTAGTAGGCGTCTGGGGTATCTGGGGCCCAAGGGCTGTCCTGTAGAAGAAAGATACATAGTTGATAATGTTTAAGGGCCATTGCTTTGGCTCCCGACTTGTAGCTCGATAGCCCTGCCCTGTACAAAACATCACGATATGCTGTACGTATCGGGACCCTTTCCTTGATTAGCTTGGCAGAAAGACCAATGTGGCGAGATTTAAGGTGCATGGTCGCTTCGTTGTCAGGTAAATACTTCATCATAGTTTGCGTTATGATGAAATGCATTTTCTCCACATTATGGCACTGCCGCATAGAGGCCACTGCTTGGGCATAATGATCAGAAGAAAATCTATCTCGTATTAGCCGGTCAAATCCTTATGCCAAAACATAAAAATTAGAATGAATATACTCACCTGAACTCATCGTCAGTTTCTCCAGGAATTATGATGTATGCCTGAAGTAGGAATTGAAGCCCAGCAACAATGTCACTACTGTTTTGTTTCCACTTGGTCTGAGCGGGACAAGTCACATCATCTTCTTCCTCGCCACCAACCTCAAACAGGAATTCTCCAGAAAGTAGCTTTTGCACAAGCGAGAATGAGAAGGTAGTGCCTAGCAACGCAGCCCATAGGACAATAGACCGTGCGGCAGAAGGCATTTCTTGCAATCGTTTGACAACGAAGTTGGTTCCAATGCCTTCGCCGTACCCGGGGACAACAAATTCCGAGAATACTCGATCAAGGTCGAACTCCCACGCAGCGTCTCTCCAGGAGTACCAGATGCAGTTCTTCCGATAACATGTTTCAAGAATCATGCGAATGTAAAAGGGGTTTCCACGGCTCTTCTCCTGAACGACAGCGGCTAGCGGGACCAGAGAGTTGTTTGAAGTTTGGTGCATTGTCGCGGCGACGAATTCAAGAATATCATCTTCGGTCAGAGGTTCCAGTACCACATTTGTAATACTTGAGCCCTCGCCTGCGAAAATGGATTTCATGATAGGCGAGACAATGTCATCGGTGCGTCCAGTGAGGATGACCACGCATCTAACTTTGTTCTTTATGATCTCAAGTAATAGGCCGGCAGACTCATCGTCCACGAAGTGTGCATTGTCGATACATATGCAGATGACTTCGTATAAGGACATAACCCTCAGTACATCGATTACGATTTCCACAAAGTTCATTCCTGAAGCGGACGGTCCCTGAATGAAATCTTGTGAGGTTTGGCCATGCCTGAGACTTGTAAATTCGGGGGCACTGACACTGAACGATTCTTCTATACCCTCCTTTAAACCTTTTAGCGGTTGAAAGGATCTCTGGTGTACCGGTGGTTCATAGTCGACATTATCTTGGAAGAGCAGCTGGTAGGGAAGGTCGAGGAACTGGTGGAGGGACGGCCAGATGGGCTGCAGGCTATTGCGGATGGAATTGTGGTATTCTGTCGAAATATCACGCTCAGAAAATATCTGTCGTAATAGGCTGGCTAGTGCTTTGAGGAAAGGGTCAAACGGCAATTTAGACTGTCGGTCGACCTTTGCAACGGCAACGTAACCTAGTTTGCGTATTTCGGGTAGCAGACGCTGGAGCAGGTCTGATTTGCCCATTCCGGTTGGTCCAGACACCGTTATCACTTCACATCGACCACCATGTCTATATTTTGTATGTGCTGCTTTTCGCCGAGCTAGAGAGCCCGAGTCGAATGCGACGCTGGGGGAGTCACGATCGATAAATTCCCATGACATTCGCGAATCCGTAGGGCTTTTCATGCGGTTTGAAAGAAGCGTGGATTTACCGCTAGTAGTGCCATGATCACCACTGAACATCGAATCGTGGGAAGGCATCAAGCCATGAGAGGTCGAAGCGTGAGAAATCGAGTTAGGTCTGAATGCTGAAATAGGGGCTGCGTAGGAACCAGAATCACTGGAGGCGTCAACTTCGACAGCATCTAGTCTGTCGCCCGAAATCGACGAAGCCGAGCTCCTTGCATAGAGACTTGGCTTGTTAGGGGTGGTGGCAGCTTGTCGTCGTTTGCTGGCCTTGTTTATGACGCTCATAATCCGGTCGAATTCGACTTTCCTTCCAAACATGCCGGAAGGTAGTGTGAAGAAAGAGGAAACATCCCGCTGGGCTACCTGGAAGTCTCTCAGTGCCTCTGAGTTCCCATCGCCGAGCAGCTTGGAGATCTGCTGGAAATCCCATTTGACTGCTGAGATGGTATGATACCTCTCATTGATTTGTTTTTTGGTCATCTTTTGAATAACGGCGGAGCATGCATCAGGCATATCAAGGCGTAAGGTCGATATGGGAGATAGTTTCTTGCTCAGGACATTCTGCACTACTTCAACAAGGTCTTTTCCCTCGAAAGCGGGCTTCCGAGCTAGCATAATCCATAGTAGAATACCAAGAGCATATATATCTGTTCTGCTGTCGGGCTCTGTTGGTAATCTTCCGGTCTGTTCTGGCGCGATAAACTGTAGCTTGTTCCTGACGCCGATTTCCTTTGACAAGACGGCCCAACCATCGCCTAGAGCATTGTCGAATGACCTAGGGCCATTACCGGTATTCATCAGCCTAACGACCCTAGTTTCCTCGGAGAAGTGGAAAGCGTCACCACGTATTTCACCATGGATGGTCTTTAGACCATAATGCAGCAACTCGAGACACTCGCAAGCTCCAATGGCAAAATCAAAAAACGCCTGCAGTGAAACCTCTTCAATATCTGGATTGGTCGATGGCGGGACACTGCAATCCATTTGGAAGGAGTGCGGCCCACCCAGGATCAAGCGTCTTAGATAGTTGGGCGATACGTATTCATAAATCGTGACGAGGAGCAGCCCTCTGTCCTCTGGCTCGCGAGCAAGGTGTATGATATCGATGGGGCGAACGGTGTGCTTGCATTCTGGATCGGAGGTCTCAACGATCGTCCTCAAGATGTGAAACTCACGCTCAAGGCGGACAACATGGCCGGACACACGGGCTATGACGGGAAGCCATGGCCTCTCGACTTCTTCGCGTGGGGATGTGATCTCACTCCCAGCTTCACTGGGGGCCTTTCGCCACTGCGACGGAAAAAAGGACCTTGGCTCCAGCTCCGGCGAGTTATGCGACGATGCGGAGGCCTTGGAACGAGACGAGGAGGAGGCCGCGGTATGCGTCGAAATGCTTTCGGAGTCTGCGGAGTATTTGATTCCAGTGAACTGCCAGTGGTCGTAAGAGGACTGGAAAGGGGTGACGTTCTGGTCCCATGAGTATCCCGGAATCTGTGAAAGACGCTCTAGCAGACGCTCTGGAAGCGCATGGAGGTCCTCCCCCAGAATCCTGCTCTCCTCCATCTTTCCTTGTCCTGCTGATTTCTGTATTTATTATCCTTATTTTCTTATCTCTCTTAAATATCTTAATAACTTTTTTTTCTTATGTGGTTGCGGGGAGCGAAGACTGCCCTGAGGTCCCTGGAGGGCAAGCGGTGCAACAGAGCGGCGGCGGCGGCAACGACAGCGACAGCGAGAGGAGGGTCATGTCCGTGGTCAGAGGTCACCGATTACCGAAATCTCATGGTTGTCACTGGGAGAATAGCGTATATATAGGGTGAATTTTTTATATATATTAACCTGAGAAATGTGGGGAGGAGGAGGAAGTTGGTCGTTGTTGAGTTGGGATGTTTTTAATTTTTTTGCCTTGCGGTTTGGTTGGCCGGCGACAGAAAAGGGAAGAAGAAGAAGGCCAAAGGCAGGAAGAAAGAATATCATGTGCTTCCCGCTGGCTCTGGTAACTCAAGAAGCAGGAAAGAAAAGGACGAAGAAGACGCCAAAGCGCATGGAAAGGACCAGAAGGAAGCCCTTGTTGCTGCTCTCGCTTCAACTTCCAACTTGATTTCTTCGCTTTCCAATCTGTCTCAGCGATGACACCGGGGGGGGGATCGAGCCTAGGCCTATCAAACCCTCCAGCCACGAGTCCACTAACTAACTGCTGGGGTCACTGACGCAAGTCGCCTTGTGGCTCTCGCACCAGCGCTAGTCCAGCTAGTCAGTAACGGAGTCAGCTACGGAGGCGCACCTCTTGCGGGAAGGTTTATACGGTTGAACAAGGTCGAGGACAGGCAGCAGGCCTCGCTGTCTGGAGAGAAGGCATCAGCAGCAGTGTCAGTTGATGTGGCTTTGCTGCTAAGGTGCTGGATGGCCCCGCGACGACAGGGCACACGATCAGGTTGGGCAGGCTGTCACTGGCTTGGTCGACGGGCCCTTCAGTCTCGCTGAGCTGCTGCTGCTGCTGCTGCTGCTGCTGCTTGCTGTTGCTGCGGCTTAAAAGGCCTGGCTGAGCCCCCTTTTTTATGCGTTGAGCTAGCCAGAGCGCTCACTAGCTTAAGTCTGCAGGAGATGGTTTTTTATCAAGGTTAGCAGAGGGGGCCGGCTACGCATATGGTTTATGCGCCGAGCCTAGTTGTTCGAGAGGGTCTCTGAAGTCGAATCTTCGGGTTGGTTGACACTCTGACTGACCTGGCTGGCGGACTTCGTTAGACTCTGCGCTGAAAATGGCGGATAGTTATGGATCTGCCATACGATGCTGGTATGCGTGCGCATAGACAAAGGTCACTGGTAGTTGGCCAACCTTGGTCAGGGGGATGTCTCTGGCATCTGCATGGCTTTCCATAGAAGGCTGTCTATGCATGAATAGGGAGAGTTAAAACGGGCTACAACAGCTCTAAGGTTGGCTATCACAGGTCTTGTGGGCTTTGATATCAATGTCAACGCAGACTCAGGGGGTGAAAGGGCCCCTGGCACTTGTATGACAACGAATAACTATTTGAGACGACCCCGCGGAATATTGACGGGCTAGGGGGGGGATCAGATAGAATCTTATACAGCAATAATTCATTACCATACTCTGATACCTTGGGCTGTATATTCCAGGGTACTAGTTCTTTGGGTGACTATTCCTAACACATAGCGTTCAAATGCTCCACGAACCATCCCAGCTCCCTTTGAGGTAACTAGAGTTCCCAAGAGAGCAGGCCTGAATAAAGCAACTTCGTAAGGGAATCCATGGGACGAGATATAAGACTATACCTAGCTACTGTACATCGGCCCTGGCAGACGGACTGACTTCGCTGCAAACCAGTCCTGCACCAGCCTTTTTTCCCACCTTTTTTATCTTCTGTCTTTGTTATTCGTCTGTCATTAGTGAGCTCTGTACTCTGCCAAGTTTCTCCTCCTTTTCTTCTGCTTCTCTCTTTCTCTCTTTCTTCTATCAAAAAGTCCCAACTTGCGATCCTTGCAGACAGAGGGCGATGCCATTTTAGGAAGTCCATTACATGGTGCATCATATATTTCAGCCAATAAAAAATAGTTGTACTTGTGCTTTGAATGATAAATTAGCACTATTGGATGTATATTATGTGATTATACAATTCACGGGATATTATTGGATGATGGGTATCTCATTTCTACACGTGACTGTGGATCCGGGCACCAATCAGACCGCTTTCCCTTCGTCAAAAGCGCCCGCCTGCTCCAATTGGTTGAGGTTGCCTGGCTGCGAATCATGTTGGGTCGACGGCCCTGAGATATCAAGACATGCCAAAACAAACAGAGATTTATTGTGGTTGAAAGCCGCCCTTCCCGATGCTCGTATGCACCTGGCCGAATTGCAGCACTTGGTTCCTTCCTTTCCGCCTCCCAGCTGACACACGGCGTGGTGAAGAACAACGATGTAATTCGTGATCAAGCGGATGGCAGCACAAGCTGGATGCATGAAAGCAATGAGGAATCAGCTTGTGAGACGCCTTCGGGATCCTCGCAGAAGATCATTATTCCTCAGATCTGGTAGTGACTTCATAAGTTTGAGAATATAGAAGTTACGATGCGGAGGCAAAACTTAACCTAGGTTTTTTTTTTTTTTTTTTTTTTTTCCGTTGGTCAGGGGAGGAAGAAGAAACTGCCTCTCTTGATGACACCCCCCGGGGCCCGCAATGACGATAGTTATGGGTAGCCTTCGGGGCCATGGATTGAAACGGCAAGCTACCTAAAGCCAAAGCAGGGGCCCATGGTTCCCAGAAAACGAGCCAAACACGATGTGTCCCTGATCGCAATCCATATGCATGCCATGGCATCGTGGAAATCGGTTGGATGCTACAGTATCAAGACGGGGTATGGAGTATTGTTACTGGACATCGGTTAGCCGGGAGGTTAGCTCCTCCCGGCTACAGGTTTCGAGGGACCCTCAGCTCACATTTCATCCATATCTCTATCTCTACCTATCATACTCTATGCTAGAGTCAGTGCTGTATCTGTACTCCGTGCTCTCGTTGCTGAGTGTCGTATATGTGTCGATGTGCATGGGCGAAGTTGATATATCGAAAGCCAACCCACGGATAACTATCAGACTCCCCAGATGCCCAGTTTTCATTATTCATATTTCCTATACTTTCCGTTTGACACCAGGTAGTTTGAACTACACATTTATTTATAGACCCGTGCCCTGTATATCAACGTTAATCCAGGTATAACACTCCGACCTCCCTAGCATGGGGGTGTGTACCCCGACAAGTAACCTCTCGAAGACACTCGTTATTAGTCCGTCAATAAAGCAAACAGTGAGACCAACAAAATAACAATGGTCATCTGTGCGTTTCCTTCAAGGCTATTTTGCACAGCGTCGCTCTACCCACCAGAGCACGACTCGTGGCTAGAAGAAGAAATTATCAAGCCTTCCTCTGCCTTTCTTCTTACGAAATACCCGATCTCGTTTGTTATTTCCATTGAACCTCGTTGCTGTCGACCAAGTGCTTTTGAGACAAGGCTCCCTTATTCTTTGTCTATGCGTTTCCATCATGATCTACCCCTGAGAACTGTGGTCTTGGAAGTATTCCGTTTAGGGTAAACGGACGACCCTATGATGTCAGAGGATGCAGGTGTCTTTTCTAAGGATGAAAGGGAAAGAAAAGGAACGAACTAACGAGAGCTAACAACTTGTCACAAAATCCCTTCTCAACAGTTTCCTGCCTGGCAGCTGTTAGGCCGTTATTAGTGTGAGATCCAACCAACAACCTTAACTAGTTACATACCTACGAGACCGACCGCCCCGTCCGGCGCCGATAGCCTATTCCATTGATCCAACCTCGTCAGCAGAGCAATCAGCCGGCGTACTCCAAGGCTGTGTGGTCTGACCGATGACAGCGCCAGTGTTCCAGTAACCAAGACAGGCCAGCAAGTTACACGTCATACTTCCTAGGCGAGTGCTCAGCGTACTCTGTGACCCTACTCCGTACCCGTCCGAAGAGCACCGTGAGGGACTTTGTGATGGCCTGAACCAGCACCACCAGTAGTAACACCTCTGTCATCACCAAAAGCCACGTCCCAATGAATGATCTGATGTCCCCTCTTGTCAGTCCATGGTGCCGGGTAAGGCGCTAAAAACGTGTTCAGCGGATTCCTCGGGATGGGTTCCCATCTGCCCTGCACATTAACAAGACTGCATGTGGCCGACACAACAGGGAGGAGGAGTTGACGAAAGGTGCAGTGGTCGATATTTCTGACTGGTAGAGCAGGTAGAGCACAGGAGGTGCGAGGGGTGCAGACTATTGAAATCGATCAACACCCCCTTTTGCTGGGGATGAAGCAAGTGAAGGAAGATATGGTGATTAGGGGGGGGTGGGAAGAAGGCAGGAGAAGGATGGATGCATGCCTTATACGAGTACGCAACAGGCGCATGTATGTCAATGTTATGTTGCTTACATACTGCTAGGTACGGACGGAGAAGCATCGGCATCACCGTCATCGAACCGTCCCCATCCTATCGTCATCAGGATGGAGTTGCTCACCGTTATTTAAATTATCCCACACGGCTGAAAAGCCAAAAGGCAAAAAATGCAAATCATTGCAAATCTCAGGCGCTACCCATATCTCATGGGTAACAGGCATTATCCTCAACGATTCGTATTCAGTGACCTCATGCCTTGTGCTCACCGCTCGACGGCCGCTTAATGTGAAGCGAAGGTCGTTGGTGCATATTAAACGATACCGCGATTAGATGAAAATATATATAAAAATAAATATATACTCCATATATATCATCATGCATGATCAGAAGCAACAACCTCGAGCAAGGGATAGAGTCGGCGATTAGCATTGGTGCTGCACTCCAGAATATGATCCCGGCCTGTTGAGCTCTAATTTGCTGCCACTCTGTTATGTCACTTTGCATGCTGATGGCTTATTGAAGCCGCCGATCTCAGCCTTATCTGAATTCTTCTTACTCATTTCCCCCAAGTGCAGGTGTGTGTGCCCTCTCTTTCTCGCAGGAAAATCGTTCCATGTTTGTGATTTTTCTCCGTAGACTAGTACGGGGTTTCCCTCTTCCTCCGTATGGATATAGTGTGATGCGTGTTGCATGCTGTTCTTGTAAGACGCCAACGGTTCACATATATGTATACTTAACACTTGGTTGTTTTTTTTTTTTTTTTTTAACGGCGGCGGTGGATCCTACCCCCTTCACCTTCTCTTCTCTTTCCCCCTTGCTGTGGGTCGAATAATAAATGAAGGGTGTGAAGAAAGCCCGAGGCAGACAAAATAACTAATCGACATCTGAGAATATCCGTGGAAATCGAGAGATGGTCTGGTCGATAAATCAACATGAGGAGTCGTACAGGTCGAGGGATTGTACTGTCCCGTAGTCTCTCAGTTACGTATATGGTGCAGCCGGTGCAACTTTAGGGTGGAAAAGAAAAGAAGCAACTACCGGAGAGATGTCTGACTGCCCAAGTGACGATGTCGAGCAGCCACTCAACGTACACTCTCTCCGTACTCCGTAACTATGTACTCCGTACCCCGTAGTTAGTTTTCTGCTTCCTTTTTCTTCCAATTATTTTTGGACGGCCGTTTGAAGTTCGAGCAACTATCGAACAACA